AGACCCGGATGCACCAGACATCCCGACCCCGCGCACTTACGCTGAGGCGATGGCGGGTCCCTACTCCTCTCAGTGGCAGACAGCCATGGACGCAGAGATGGCTTCCTGGAAGTCCACACGCACCTACGTCGACGAGGTTCCCCCACCTGGGGTGAACATCGTCAGTGGCATGTGGATTTTCAGGGTGAAGCGGCCACCGGGTTCTCCTCCTGTCTTCAAGGCGCGCTACGTGGCTCGAGGCTTCAGTCAGCGAGAGGGAGTTGACTTCTTTCAGACCTTCTCCCCCACCCCGAAGATGACCACTCTTCGGGTGCTGCTGCACATAGCCGCTCAGCACGACTACGAGCTTCACTCACTTGACTTCAGCACTGCTTTCTTGCAGGGCAGCCTGCACGAGGAGATCTGGCTGCGCCGCCCTCCTGGCTTCACTGGGTCGGTTCCTCCTGGTACCCAGTGGAGGCTTCAGCGGCCGGTCTACGGTCTCCGCCAGGCACCGCGTGAGTGGCACGACACACTGAGGACGACACTTGCGGCTCTTGGGTTCGCTCCCTCTACTGCTGACCCGTCACTGTTTCTACGCACAGACACCTCACTGCCGCCGTTCTACATCCTCGTGTACGTCGACGACTTGGTCTTTGCCACTGCTGACACCGCGGCACTCGCCCATGTGAAGTCGGAGCTGCAGAGGAGACACACGTGCACAGACCTGGGTGAACTGACAAGCTATCTTGGCTTGCGGATCACCCGGGACAGAGCACGGCGCACCATCACCTTGACTCAGTCACACATGGTGCAGCAGATCCTCCAGCGCTTCCGCTTCACGTACTCCTCGCCTCAGTCCACTCCTCTGCCTACCGGTCACTCGCTCTCAGCTCTGCCTTCGGATGAGTCCGTAGAGCCGAGTGGCCCGTATCCAGTGCTTGTGGGCTGCCTCATGTACCTGATGACCTGCACTCGACCTGACCTTGCATACCCTCTTAGCATCCTTGCACGCTATGTCGCTCCTGGCCGTCACAGGAAGGAGCACATGGATGCCGCTAAGAGGGTGTTGCGCTACTTGTGCAGTACGTCGGGCATGGGGCTTGTGCTTGGAGGGCGAGACCGAGTTGTACTTACTGGAGACTCCGACGCTTCTTGGGCGGACGACCAGGCTACTCAGCGGTCGTCTCAGGGTTACACCTTCAGCCTTGGCTCTGGCTCAGTTTCTTGGCGTTCTACACGCTCTTCTTCTGTTCTCAGCTCTAGTTGTGAGGCTGAGATCTACGCCACAGCCATGGCTGCCCAGGAGCTACGCTGGCTGACCTACCTGCTGACCGACTTGGGTGAGCGGCCTCGTTCTCCTCCAGTGCTTTACGTCGACAACCAGGCTGCCATTGCCTTGTGTGAGGAGCACAGACTGGAGCACAGAACGAAGCACATCGCCCTGCGGTACTTCCTTGCTCGAGAGCTGCAGCAGCGCGGTCAGCTTTGTCTGCGTTACGTGGCCACTGAGGCCAACCTTGCTGATGTGTTCACCAAGGCGCTTCCGCCTTGTGACCATCAGCGCTTCTGTACTCTGCTAGGCCTTGTGCCTACTGGACCTCACTTACTTACCTCTTGACCTTGCTTGTACTGTGATCACTATATATATATATCTACCTGCATGTTTACTCTTGCTAGGTTGTGATCACTGTATCTCTTGCTCTGTTATAAACCTGCATGTGAACTGGTCTTGTGACCACTAGCTTGTGCTCAGAATTTGTGTGGAATCCTTGAGATCCACCCTGAGCTTGTTGTTGCCTTGCTTTGCCTTGACTGGTCTTGTGACCCCTAGGTCTCCCCCACTTTGCCTATGGGGGTGTGTCAAACATTGTATATGTTATATTTGTGTAGGCTGTAGTGGGTTAGCCTATAGGGGGGTCACAACATTAGGGTTTCATATTTGTACTCACAGTCCTTTCTAGTTCACCATTCCAGTCTGTTGTTCCGACAGATACATGTTCTGTGTGATGCTGGTGGAGGAAAAATGTGAATGTATATTCATTTTTTGATAGCTATATGGATTTTTTTTGTTTTTGCTAGTAGATTGAAGTAAACATTTATCGCGAAATGGATGTGTTTTGCATGCTGCAAGAACAAACTGTAGTTTAAAATAATTATGACTCGGTGAATCTGGTGAGGGAACTAGCGGAGCTACACTGTCACGCTTGATGATGGAGTGAAACATAGCGTGTACAAAATCATGCGCACACAGAAACAGGGCGTACACTTTGGTATTTTTATTTTAAGGGAAAGTATGTGCTGGTTACTATGGTTTTAGGATTCTCTCATATTTAGTCACAGGGTATACTCAATCAGTGCGACTCAATGAGATTTCGGTCACGAGAACTTCCACATTATGTTGAAAGTTGGTACTGCAGGCAAAAGGTTTTGACATGTGTCAGTTTTTAGCAATAGATTCTGCTTTTCTGAGCTCGATCTAATAGGGCAGCCCGAAAAAAAAAACCCCTAGGGAAGCTGGACGCATTTTTGGGAGGGATGAACCCTAAACAAGGAACCCGCCCGGAGTTTAGGGTTGATGCCTCCCCGAGTCGCATCCCTTTCCGATTGGTTTTTAGTTTCTATCTGCGTAAAAAATGGACACGTGTCGAAAATTTTGCCCAGCAGTATGAGTCGTGAACATAATCTGGTATGAGTTTTGAGTGATTTTTCTGAAAACAGTAGTGTTCGAGTAAGCCGAGGAATGAAATTTGAAAATTTTTCAATAACCAGGTAGCCAGCACATACTTTCCATTTATTTAATTTTAACATATTAGGAATCACGCGCAGATCCAGTCGCGCCACATGTACCTTTAGGGTTCATTCGTATCCCGTGTCAGACACAAAGCTAGACACGGAGCGGAGGTTCGGAAAACCCGAAGTGGTTCGTTTGTGGGGAGATGGAAGTTCGGAAGAGACAAATTGGAGACCAAGGGCTGATGACTTCAGGTCTGACACGGGATACGAGTTAACCATTTTAGTTTCGCAAAAATGTGCGGGAAGATACAATCCGCCTCTCAGCACAAGCCGAACATCATGTTGCGCGACAGTGGCGACATCATCACCCTGTAACCAGAAGGGTGGCAATTTGATTCCCAGAAATATTCGCAAGATTCAGTTTCGTGAGAACCCCAGATTCTCACGAAAATCGGTCTCGACTTCGCTGAACCGTCACTGTAGCGACGTGTACGAGTGCAAGTCTTATTCTGAGGTTTGTTACATGCGTTTCGGGCATGTTAACGATTCGGCTGTTACTGATTTTACGTATCATAGGTGTTCGTGTCCCAAAAAGTTGTCAAAATGTGGTTACAATTAAAAAGTGGTAACTGTAGCGTCAGGGATGCTGTAAACGTACGCGCTGGACACGCCCTCAATCCACCGCCTAGCAACTATCGTTCCTGGGTCCGTCCTTCAGCGCGCCTCCCGGTTTCGCGCTTTACTATACACGAACCTCGGAGGAAGATCCTCGCCCGGCCTCCGTCCTTAGGATCTTTGCAGAGCTGAAAACGTCGGCGTGCTTTCCAGGTGTGCGAATGCGGCCCTGTAGCATGTCCGCATCCTCCGTCGTTTGGTGCTTAGCATGTTCGCATTCAAATGCTATAGTTATCTTCTCTCCTCCGTGCCTCTCTGCTGTTTCCGCTGTTTCCGCCGCGACTGCCTCGTTTCCCCGCGCCTCACGACCATTAATCGCTTTTGAGAATTCTCAAAAGCCTCACGACCATTAATTTACGAAATTGACTAGAAATTCCTGTGCCCCTCGCTCCCCTCGATCCTCTCGCGCTGCGCGCACCCGCTGCGCCTTCTCCCCCCTCGTACCTCTTCTCCCCCCTCGTACCTCCTCTCCCCCCTCCTGCTTCCATCCTTTGCCCCAATCCCCAGCCACGTCAGCATCTCGTCGCGCACCCCTTGCTCTCGCCTTCCTTCCCCATCTCCCTCCCCATCCACCCTTCTCCCCCTCCTCCCTGCTAAGCTAACCTCCCATCCGCCATATCCCGTGTTCCTTCCCCATTCTCCTCCACTGTCCGCCACATGCCGTGCCAATGCCTTAATCCTTTCCACCTTTTCTGTGCGAATTACATTTCATCATCATGTGCGAATTACATTTCATCATCATGTGCGAATAACATTTCATCATCATGTGCGAAGCTGGAGCTGGCAGGTGTGATCCATACCATACCATACCCACATGCGAAGTTGTATCAGGGATACTCCCATCGTCCCGACCATCCCTGCCTCCCCATCCCCTACCTGTCAGACCACACTGTCACAATAGTCCGGCTTACATCACACGGGGTGATATCCATCCTTTCCGCTCCATCCCTCTCCTCTGCTCCCCTCTCCACCCTTCTCCCCCTCCTCTCCATCCCTCTTCTTCCCTCTCCAGCCCTCCCCATCCCTCTCCATCCCTGCCTCGCTTCCTCGTGTCCTTATTCCCCACAGACAGCAGCACCTGTGCCAATGGGGCGGTTAACAGGGGGAGGGCGATACGTGAAGGGGGTGACACTCGGGAAGGGGACATTTGGAGTCGTTTTTAAGGCGTATGACACACATGTGAGGCTTTAGTACTAATTTAGGCTTTAAGGGCACAACACTTAGGAAGGGAACTTTTGGAGTCGTGTTCAAGGCATACGACACTCATGTGGGTCGTTTTTGGAGTGCTCATTTAGGCTTTAAGGGGGTGGTAATCAGAAGGGGAACTTTTAGAGTCGTTTTTAAGTCAAGCCATACGACACTCATGTGAGGAGGACTGAATCAACTCTTCTGTGGCTTCAGTGGGCGACTCTCAAAATTCTTTGTGACTTCACAACACATGCGTACGACCCGCCCGCATATGAAGAGGAATGAATGAGCGCTCTTCACTTCAGTCACTGAGTGCAGCATGTTCTGCATAGTCAAAGAGAGTACAAGTATGGGAAGAAACTTGAGACAGCAATTACCTTCTGCCTTTCCTCCCCTCCTCCTTTCCCTCGTAGGGTGTGAACATGACGGATTTGAGGGGGATTAAGCTGCTGCAATGCAATCCCGTCCTCCTCCCTGCATTGCCTCCTTCCCTTTTCCCCTCTTCTTCTCCTCTCCTCCCTTTTCCACAGACGAGCAAGACAGTGGCGAAAAAGGAGACTCATCTGGGCGACTGCAAGGAGGGGGTGAATGTGACTGCTGCTGCACTCCCTTTCTTCCCCTTTCCCCTGCCTGTTCCCCCCCTTCCCACGTGTGGTAGACGGGCAAGACAGTGGCAATTAAGAAGGCTCATCTGGGCGATTGCAAGGAGGCGATGGGAGAGATGAAGCTGCTGCACTCCCCGTCTTCCCCTCCCCTTCAACTCCACCTTCCACCCTTCCCAAGCACTGCAGACGGGCAAGACGGTCGCAATAAAGAAAATTCACCTCGGTGACTGCAAGGAGGGCGTGAATGTGACGGCTCTGAGGGAGATCAAACTGCTGCAGGAGCTGCACCACCCGCACATCATTGATCTCATCGACATCTACCCGCATAAGAGGAATTTGAACCTCGTTCTTGAGTTCATGGAGACGGATCTAGAGGTGAGAGAGAGTGGGGCTTGCTGGGGGCAAGGAGGGCGTGCTTGAGGTGAACGTGTATGTGACGGCACCATCCACAACCTGATGGCTCTGAGGGAGATCAAGCTGCTGCAGGAGATGCACCACCCACACATGATTGAGCTTATTGATATCTACACGCACACAAGAGAGGAACCTGAATTTGGTGCTCGAGTTCCTGGAAACAGACCTAGATGTGAGCTTATGCTGGGCCACCATTAAGCTCATGGGTGGACATGTAACCCCCCGCTGAAGGGAGCTGCACCACCCACACGTTATTGAGCTAATCACCATCTATTCGCACAACAAGGGGAACCTTTATCTGGTGCTCGAGTTCATGGAGACGAATTCAGAGGTGAGCCTCTCAAAGCATGTGCGGTGGTGGTTGGCACGAAGGGTGCTTCCTGCTCTGCTCCACCCGCACGTCATCGCACTCGCCGATATGTATACCCACTCGCATAACAGGAACCTGGACCTCGTGCTGGAGTTCGTGTCCCTTATCTTGTCCTGCCTCATCTCTTGCTCCCTCACCAATTGGGGTCGTCCTACCGTTTGCTTTCCCGTAGCAACAGAGTTACCAACCATGCCTTCTGAACATGCTGTTGACCCAATAGCAATGCGCACACTCTAGGTCTAATGGTTGCCATATGTAATGACACGCGGCAAATTTCTTGCAATTTTTTCATAATATGGAGATGCTGAGGAGTGTTTTGTTACTTCTGAGAAGAAAACATGCAAGGCCAGACGAGGTTAGAGCATCTTACAATGGGGCTTGCCTAAATCTCATCTAGGCTTGCCTGCATTTTTATCAGAATTATCATAGCCCCCTCAACGTCCTTTACTGTGCAAAAAATGCAAGAAATTTGTCGCGTGACATTGCATAGGGCAACCCGTTGACGTAAAGTCTGCGTGTTGCTATTGGGTCAGATGCAACAGGTTCAGAAGGCATGGTTGGTAATTCTGTTGCTACAAGAAGCATACGGTAGGACGACCTCAATTGGTGAGCACTGCATCACACCACCCGCGCGTCACTGAGCTGATTGATTGACGTGTACCTGCACAACACAAATCGAAACCTCATGCCTGAGCTGATGGGGATGAATGTGGAGGTGCGCCTCAGAGTCTGTGTGTGCTGGTGTTTGAGTCGCCTCAGATGTCAACTCTTGAGTCTGTGCTGGCACTGAGGGAGGCCATTGACATGTATGTATGTATTTGCCATCTCTCTCCTCAAGGATCACTTTTGAAGCGACTTTTGAGGCGCCTCAAAAGTTGTATTTGTCTCCTCTCTCTTCAAGTATCGCTCCTGCACCTGTCCCTAGGGGACATAAAGGCGTTCATGCGCACGTCTCTCGCTCCTCCCTCCTCCCCCCAGTCCTCCTCTCCCACCCTTCATCTCCCTCTTTCACCCAACCCCTATCCCACCCTTCATCTCCCTCTTTCACCCAACCCCTATCCCACCCTTCATCTCCCTCTTTCACCCAACCCCTATCCCACCCTTCCTGTCAGAACATCATCAAGGATCGCTCGCTGCACCTATCCCCAGGGGACATCAAGGCATTCATGTCGTGCGCATGACTCTCTTATCCTACTCCTGTGACCTGTCTTCCTCCCCGCTGTTCTCCCTCCCTCGTCCCCTTCGTCCTCTCCTCCCCCCTCCCTCCCTTCCCCCATCAGAACATCATCAAGGATCGCTCGCTGCACCCTATCCCCCGGGAGACATCATGTTGTTCATGCGCATGACCCTCCCCCTCGCTCTATCCTCCTTTCCCTTGTCCCTCTCACTTCCCCCTCTCCCCCACCCAATTTCCATCAGAACATCATCAAGGATCGCTCGTTGCACTTGTCTCCGGGGGACATCAAGGCGTTTATGCGCATGTCTCTTCCTTTCCCTCTGTCCTCCTTTCCCTTTCGTCCGCCTTCCTCCCCCTTTTCTCGATCACCCTTCCCCCTCTTGCCGCAGAACATCATCAAGGATCGCTCGCTGCACCTCTCTCCAGCCGACATCAAGGCGTTTATGCGCATGACGCTAGAGGGGCTAGCATACCTCCACGGCAAATGGGTGCTGCACAGGTGGGCCCTCCCCTTTGTCCTCCTGCCCCACGCTGCACTGCAGGGTGCTGATATGATCAATGATGGCTCACTCACACTTGGTATCACGGGATGGGTTGGTACCGCTCTCTGCATCTGACCTCACTTCTGAGGCGCCCCAAAAGTTTCCAGGGAATATTAAGGCGCTTATGTGTTGGTTTGAGCTGACTCAAAAGTCGACCCTGGAGGGGTTGGAGTACTGCCATGGGAAACGGGTGCTGCACAGGTGTGTGCACTGCGCTGGTGCAGTGCGCTTTACAGGGATCTGTGCCTATGTTTGAGGCGCCTCATAGGTGGGCTGGCATACTCCCATTAGAAGTGGGTGCAGCACAGGTGGGTGTACTAGGCTAGTGCAATGGGCTAAAGAGGCGTTCTCCTCTTGACTCTTGAGGGGCTGGTACTGCCACAGGAGTTGGGTGCTCTCCAGGGAAGTGCTCCCCAGGGAAGTGCTCCCCAGGGAAGTGCTCCCCAGGGAAGTGCTCCCCAGGTGGGTGCATTAGGCTAGTGCGGTGGGCGTGGGCTAGAGGCGTTCATACTGGGGTACACACATGACTCTCGAGGGGTACACACATGACTCTCGAGGGGTACACACATGACTCTCGAGGGGCTTGTACTGAGACGTCTCAAAATTGTCAAAGGGCTCGTACAGCCACGGAAATTGTCAAAGGGCTCGTACAGCCACGGAAATTGTCGAAGGGCTCGTACAGCCACGGAAATTGTCAAAGGGCTCGTACAGCCACGGAAATTGTCGAAGGGCTCGTACAGCCACGGAAATTGTCGAAGGGCTCGTACAGCAACGGAAATTGTCGAAGGGCTCGTACAGCCACGGAAATTGTCGAAGGGCTCGTACAGCCACGGAAATTGTCGAAGGGCTCGTACAGCCACGGAAATTGTCGAAGGGCTCGTACAGCCACGGAAATTGTCGAAGGGCTCGTACAGCCACGGAAATTGTCGAAGGGCTCGTACAGCCACGGAAATTGTCGAAGGGCTCGTACAGCCACGGAAATTGTCGAAGGGCTCGTACAGCCACGGAAATTGTCGAAGGGCTCGTACAGCCACGGAAATTGTCGAAGGGCCCGTACAGCCACGGAAATTGTCGAAGGGCTCGTACAGCCACGGAAATTGTCGAAGGGCTCGTACAGCCACGGAAATTGTCGAAGGGCTCGTACAGCCACGGAAATTGTCGAAGGGCTCGTACAGCCACGGAAATTGTCGAAGGGCTCGTACAGCCACGGAAATTGTCGAAGGGCTCGTACAGCCACGGAAATTGTCGAAGGGCTCGTACAGCGACGGAAATTGTCGAAGGGCTTGTACAGCCACGGAAATTGTCGAAGGGCTCGTACAGCCACGGAAATTGTCGAAGGGCTCGTACAGCCACGGAAATTGTCGAAGGGCTCGTACAGCCACGGAAATTGTCGAAGGGCTCGTACAGCCACGGAAATTGTCGAAGGGCTCGTACAGCCACGGAAATTGTCGAAGGGCTCGTACAACCACGGAAATTGTCGAAGGGCTCGTACAGCCACGGAAATTGTCGAAGGGCTCGTACAGCCACGGAAATTGTCGAAGGGCTCGTACAGCCACGGAAATTGTCGAAGGGCTCGTACAGCCACGGAAATTGTCGAAGGGCTCGTACAGCGACGGAAATTGTGTGGTGCGCAGGCGGGTGCCATCGACCCACATCCCACTTTCCCTGCTGCTCTTTTCTCCATCTTCGTCCTGAGCCCCCACCACCCCAAAACATGAAGGCCAGTCATCACCTGCTTATACCACTGAAGGGTTCCTCTTCGCCTTCCACCTCCCTTTTAGGGCGCCTCACTAGTCGTCTTTTAATTCGACCCAAGACTCACTTTGCCCCACTACCCAGAAACATGATGGGTTCCTGTTCGGCCCCCACCCTCCTCGCGCGTCCGCCTCCTCACCCACCTTCCCACCACCCGCACTTTTCCAGCGCAGAGACATGAAGCCCAACAATCTCCTCATAGGCCCCACAGGACAGGAGAACTCAAGGTCGCTGATTTCAACCTGCTTACGCCCTACGCCCTTCCCTCTCCCTCGTGTCCACTCTCACCCATCTCCCCACCCCCACAGGGACATGAAGCCCAACAACGTCCTCGTAGACCCAACAGGGGAGCTCAAGGTTGCTGATTTCAACCCGCGTACGCTAAACTTTCCCCTCCCACTCCCTTCCTCCCCCTCCCCACCTCTTTACGAACCCCACAGGGACATGAAGCCCAACAACCTGCTCATCAGCCCAACAAGGGAGCTCAAGATCTCTGATCTCAACCTGCTTATGCCATTTCCCCCTCTCACCCCCCCTTGTCCCCTCCCATTCCCCCTTGTCCCTCGCACAGGGACATGAAGCCCAACAATCTGCTCATAGGCCCAACAGGGGAGCTCAAGATCGCTGATTTCGGTAGCCCTGATCGCAAGCTGACCCACCAGGTGTTTACCAGGCCCCCTTACCTGCCTCTTACCTTTCCAATCTTCCCCCACAGGGACATGAAGCCCAACAACCTGCTCATCGGCCCAACAGGCGAGCTCAAGATTGCTGATTTCGGCTTCGCCCGCCTCTTTGGCAGCCCCGACCGCAAGCTCACCCACCAGGTCTTTGCGCTCTGGTACCGGGCGCCTGAGCTGCTGTTCGGCAGCAAGGCGTACGGGTCGGGCGTGGACGTCTGGGGTGCCGGCTGTGTCTTCGCTGAGCTGCTGCTGCGCCGGCCCTTCTTACAGGTAGGCCCTACTCTCCTTTTCTCTGCTACTCCTAGAACCAGTAAGCTCACCCACCAGGTCTTTGCGCTGTGGTACCGGGCCCCTGAGCTGCTGTTTGGCAGCAAGGCTTATGGATCAGGCGTGGACGTGTGGGGCGCTGGCTGCGTGTTTGCTGAGCTGCTGCTGCGACGGCCCTTCCTGCAGGTATGCCCTACTCTGCACTGCTCTGCCACCCCTAGACTAAGTGAGCTCACCCACCAGGTGTGTGCGCTCTGGTACCGGGCCCCTGAGCTGCTGTTTGGAAGTAAAGCATATGGGTCGGGCGTGGACGTGTGGGGCGCTGGCTGCGTGTTCTCTGAGCTGCTGCTGCGACGGCCCTTCGTACAGGTATGCTCTGCTCTTCAAGCAGAGGCATTTAGCAAGCTGACTCACCAGCTGTTTGCGCTCAGCAGCACCTGGTGAGCGCCTCAGCTGCTGTTTGGCGACAAGGCGTACGTCTAGGGTGCTGTGCTGGCTGTGTCTTTGCTGCGCTGCTTCTCAGGTGGCCCTTGTTACAGGTATGCTCTCCCCTGCTCTTAGAAGTAGCAAGCTCACCCAGAGGCAGAGGCAGCAAGCAAAGCGAGGCAGAGGCAGCAAGTGAGCTCACCTACCTTCGCCTGAGCTGAGCTGCTCTCCCTTCCACCCTTCCCTATCCCCCTCCCCTCTCACCCTCCCTCTCTCACCCTCCCCTCCCCTCACCCTCCCCTCTCACCCTCCCCTCTCACCCTCCCCTCTCACCCTCCCCTCTCACCCTTCCCTATCCCCCTCCCCTCTCACCCTCCCCTCTCACCCTTCCCTATCCCCCTCCCCTCTCACCCTCCCCTCTCACCCTTCCCTATCCCCCTCCCCTCTCACCCTCCCCTCTCACCCTCCCCTCTCACCCTCCCCTCTCACCCTCCCCTCTCACCCTCCCCTCTCACCCTCTCACCCTCCCCTCTCACCCTCCCCTCTCACCCTCCCCTCTCACCCTCCCCTCTCACCCTCCCCTCTCACCCTCCCCTCTCACCCTCCCCTCTCACCCTTCCCTATCCCCCTCCCCTCTCACCCTCCCCTCTCACCCTCCCCTATCCCCCTCCCCTCTCACCCTCCCCTCCCCTCTCCCCCCCCCTCTCACCCTTCCCTATCCCCCTCCCCTCTCACCCTCCCCTCTCACCCTCCCTATCCCCCTCCCCTCTCACCCTCCCCTCTCACCCTCCCCTCTCACCCTCCCCTCTCACCCTTCCCTATCCCCCCCCCTCTCACCCTCCCCTCTCACCCTTCCCTATCCCCCTCCCCTCTCACCCTCCCCTCTCACCCTTCCCTATCCCCCTCCCCTCTCACCCTCCCCTCTCACCCTTCCCTATCCCCCCCCCTCCCCTCTCACCCTCCCCTCTCACCCTTCCCTATCCCCCTCCCCTCTCACCCTCCCCTCTCACCCTTCCCTATCCCCTCCCCCTCTCACCCTCCCCTCTCACCCTTCCCTATCCCCCTCCCCTCTCCCCTCCCCTCTCCTCCTCTCACCCTTCCCTATCCCCCTCCCCTCTCACCCTCCCCTCTCACCCTTCCCTATCCCCCTCCCCTCTCACCCTCCCCTCTCACCCTTCCCTATCCCCCTCCCCTCTCACCCTCCCCTCTCACCCTTCCCTATCCCCCTCCCCTCTCACCCTCCCCTCTCACCCTTCCCTATCCCCCTCCCCTCTCACCCTTCCCTCTCCCCCTCCCCTCTCCCCCTCCCCTCTCCCCCTCCCCTCTCACCCTCCCCCTCCCCTCCCCCTCCCCTCCCCCTCCCCTCTCACCCTCCCCTCTCCCCCTCCCCTCTCACCCTCCCCTCTCCCCCTCCCCTCTCTTCCCCACTCCTCCCAGGGATCAAGTGACATTGACCAATTGGGGAAGATTTTCGCTGCCCTGGGCACGCCGCGGGAGGACCAATGGCCGGACATGCAGTGTCTGCCCGACTACGTGCATTTCAACTTCTGCCCGGCGCCGCCCCTCAAGTCACACTTCCCCATGGCGGGCGATGATGCCTTAGACCTGCTCTCCCGCATGCTCACCTTCGATCCAAACAAGCGCATCACAGCTGCTCAAGCCCTGCACCACCGGTGAGCACACACACACACACACACACACACACGCATATGCTTGCATTCTCGTTTACGCTTCTGCCCGGCGCCGCCCGTCAAGTCGCACTTCCCCATGGCTGGCGACGATGCCTTAGACCTGCTCTCCCGCTTTCTCACCTTCGATCCAAACAAGCGCACCACAGCTGCTCAAGCCCTGCACCACCGGTGAGTGCACACACACATATATGCATGCAGTACTTTACATGCGCATGCATGCTCGTTTAGGCTTCTGCCCGGCACCGCCCCTCAAGTCACACTTCCCCATGAATGGAGACGATTCTCTTGACTTGTTCTCCCACATGCTCACATTCGATCCAAACAAGAGAATCACAGCTGCGCAGGCTTTACAGCGCCGGTGAGTTGCAGGGGTGTGCATGCATGGCAGTGCAGTGCAGTACAGTGCAGTGGCCCGGGAAGTCGCTCTGCCCCATGGCTGGCGACGATGCTCTCAACCTGCTCTCCCGCATGCCTTCGACCCCAACATGCGCATCACTGCCGTGCGCTCAGGCTTTACCGCACACACACATGCTCACATGCACACATGCATGCTCGTTTTGGCTCTGCTCTCGACCTGCTCTCACTCTCACACATGCTCACGTTGGACCCCAACAAGCAGATCACAGCTGCACATGCCCGATGCTGTTGCTTTGCAGGGCACAGCTGCCCTGCAGGACTGGTGAGCGAGTCTCTGGGCCTTCTAGGTCCCCCGCCCTCCCTCTCTTTCCTTGCTTGTCTCTTTCCTTGCTTGTCTCTTTCCCTCACCATTCACACACTCCCTCATTTCCTCTCTCTTGCACCTCACCCTCCTATCCCCCCTTCTCCCCGTTCCCCCCACCAGTATCCTCCTCTGCACCCGCCAGCCACCAAGCCCAAGGGCCTGCCTCGCCCTCCCTCGCTTCCCACCGCTGCCACTTACACTCCCCTCATCTCTCCGCTGTCCTCTCCCCCTCCCCCCCACCAGCTACTTCCTCCTCGGCCCACCAGCCACCAAGCCCAAGGACCTGCCTCGCCCGCCTCCAAAGCCCTCTGGCAGCGACTTCCCCCCCGGCTCCATCCCTGTTGGGCTGGCACCTCTCGGCCCAGATGCAGCTGCTACTGCTCTTGATGCTGCCAACGGTGCAACTGCTGGTGGTGCTGGTCGTGGTGGTGATGCGAGACGAGAAGGAACGGCTGGTGGGGCAGCAGGAGCAACAGCAGCAGCTGGTGCCAATACAGGGCGTAGGCATTTCCCCCCTTCAGTAGAGTCACCCCACTATCCCCGCAACCTCTCACCAGCCACTAAGGCCGTTCGCATCTCCCTTCAACCAGGGATAGAAGAGAGTGAGAGGGGTGAGGGGAGAGGGAAGGCTGGGGAGGTTGTTGGGGACGGGAGGGATGGGAGAGGTGCAGTGGAGGGGAGTGGGGCGGAAGGAGAGACGCCGAGTGAGGTGACGATGGTTACGGCGGTTTCTGGGGGAGGGGATGGTGCGCCGATGTCGGTTGATACGGTGGTGTTCCCTCCAGGGTCGGTTCTGCCACCCAGACCAAAACTGAACAGGTAAGAATTTATTCCCTTGATGTATAATCTAACGAGTTTTTCTTCCATAAATGATTTGGATCGTTGACATGACAATGTTCTTTCTGTCCACTCATTGCATCCCCTCGTTGCGTAACCCCCCGTTACAGAGATGACAGGCTGGCTTTGCGCAAGCGTAAACTGAATGATGAGTTCGACACTGTCTAGAAACAATGATTTCGACATTATCGAGTCGCCCTCGTACCTCCAGCCATCCTTCCCATCCAAGCCTATTTTAACCGAAGGTCCTCTCCTAGCTCATTTTTCACCCTGTTTTATTTCTTTCCATTGCCATTTTAGTCGCTTTTTATTGTTGTGCAAATTCATTTCTCGTTCCCCTGTAGTGCATGTATTTGCTATATAACAAACACGAGTCCAACGTATTGTATATTTCCAGAATTTACCTTGAGCTGTCGTTAGTATATCATCCTCGCAAAGTGCTATAGCGAGAACTTGTAGTTTCGAAATGCTGAGATGAAGGGAAGCTGGTGCGTGGCGAATTGCTCAGTTTTTGGCTTGGGGATGGATGGCCCAACAGTGCAGACCAGCAGGCATCATTGCCTTCAGCCTTCATGCTCTTCGCAAGAATAACCCGCAGGTGCTCTAATTTCGAACCTTCGCTAAAGGACTGTGTGACGACCTTGTCGCAGCCGTTCCTTGAGGGTTCTCATTCGCCAAGCACACGGCATCGCGAACAAAATACCAAAATCGCACGACATCAGTTTTCGTGAAAACACCAACGAAACGAGCTCTTCTTCGTTGCTGTTCCTTCACATTTCCACTTCGCCAGCAAAAACCCTTCACAGATGTTTCTTCAGAGTTCCTGTTCGTCAAGCTCACAGCATGTGTGTCAAATAATCGTGCCCGCGCTTCACGGCAACTCGTTCTCTAGAGCGCGCATCGAAGCTCCATACTCTGCGCAACGAACTCTCTCGCCATAATTCCAGATTTCCTTGCGAAAAGAAAGAAATCACATCACCAGCGCTTCCAGCAGGTGCATCAAATAATCGCAGCTTCACGCCAACTCGTTCTTTAGAAAGCGCGCGCTTCGAAGCTTCTTACTCGGCGCAACGAACTATCTCGCCAGATTTACAGGGCCATGGAGCTCGCAGAAGAATTTAGCTGGTCCCAATTCCTCTCATCTCTATCATTAGCCACCGCCGGTTTAAGGCCACAAGGCAAATACTCCGAAAATTACTATCGTTCGAAATTCGTCAGCAGCCATGACTGTACTTCGCGCCTTCCTGGTGTTTCTCTGCACGTTTCTAGTCGCCGTGCACCTTCCTGCCGTGACGGCGGATATCGTGAACCCCACTCTCGCCGCAACTCTCGCCGGGCATGGTGAACTCGGCGCGCTGGGCGGGAACGCCCCCGCGAAAGACGTTCGCAAGAACGCGGATGTGAGGGCGATCCGTTATAGCATCCGCACTCTCATGAATGAGCGCGAGAAGGAGTCGCCCCATGCGCGGGCTGTTCGCGTTCTGGCCGCGGCGGACGCAATGCTCTCCGCGCCGCTGCAGGGGGAAGGCGCGGATGCTGACGTGGCAGCGGAAGAGCCGAGGGGGAGCAAGAATGGCGGAAAGAAGGGCGGGACGAAGGGTGGAAATACGAGGAAGGATGAGGGGCATACGCGGAAAGACGAGGGAAATACGGGGAAGGATGATGATAATAAGAGAAAGGATGAGGAGAACAAGAGGAAGGATGAGGAGAACAAGAGGAAGGATGAGGAGAACAAGAGGAAGAATGCGGAGAACAAGCGGAAGGATGCGGAGAATAAGAAAAAGGATGAGGAGAATAAGAGGAAGGATGCCTTGAACAAGCAAAAAGATGAGGAGAATAAGAGGAAGGCTGGGGGCAATACAAGGAGGGATGGGGGCAACATGAGGAATGATGGGGGCAACAAGAGGAGTGATGGGGGGAATACGAGGAGTGATGGGGGGAATACGAAGAGGGATGGGGGGAATACGAAGAGGGATGGGAGGAATACGAGGAGGGATGAGGGGAATACGAGGAGGGATGGGGGGAATACGAGGAGGGATGGGGGTCATACAAGGAGGGATGGGGGTCATAGGATGAAGGATGGGGGCAATGCGAGGAAGGATGGAGGGGATATGGGGAGCGACAGCGTGGAGAATTTTTAAAAGAATAGCCGAGGAGGAGGTGGAGGAGAAGGAAAAGGGAGGAATGAGGGAACGGTTTTTTACCAGGTGAAGGTGATGGGGCATGTGAAGGTGGCGGAGGCAGCTAAGCTGAAGGCTAAGTCCAAGGCGCTTTGTTTCTGGCTCTGGCTAAGACAAAAGTGAAACGATTAAGGCAAGAGTAGCAGGGGAATGGGTGTGGTGGGTGAGTCTCGGGATTGGCTGTAGTGCAGGTCCACCTGTGTTTGAAGCATGATGGTTGGGAGATGTGCATATGCTCTTTCCTTAGGTTGGGAGGGATCTTTGTTTTCCTGTGGAGGTCATTGTATGCTGTTTGAATTATTGTCAATATTGAGTGAACGTGAATAAAAAAACGGGCGCAACGAACAGGCTTTCTGTCATGAGTTGTAAATGAGAAGAGTGCGCAGGATGCAATAACGCGGAAGTGATTACAACGTCTGAGCAAATAAGGGGCCTAGCACTAATATAGCAGGGCTAGCTAGGCGACGGTCGCGGAGTCGCGAGATGGTTGGGTGCAAGTTTAGGGTGGGGAAACCTGAAGGCAACGCTATGGTGGTTCGGAAGGCGAGGTCGTCGGACCGAGCATGTTCTCCGAAAACATGAGTTGTACGCGTACAGTGTGACCCAGTAAGGAATCCGGAAAATTCCTTACACGGTGCGTAAGGGTAAATCCCGTCTGTGCTTATCCGCATTGCAACTGGCATTGGTATTAGCCTTGCGAATAAAGTCGGCTGCTTTTTTGCGGGCTGTTTATTTGTTCCGTGACAAACTGTTGCGATCGTAGTACCGGGTTGTCAAGGGTCGTTGAAGAGGGTACCACGGGGTCTATCCCGTAATTCAGGTTATATGGCGACTGTTTGGTCATTGCTGAGGGTGCGTTGTTATACGCAAACTCCAGCATCGAGAGTGAATCCTCCCACTTGGTGCGGTCGGGGCAGTTGGTGTGAATCAGCTGCTCCATGGTCTGATTTGTCCGTTTTGTCTGGTCGTCAGTCTGCGGGTGCTAAGACAATGAAAACTACAGGCGGATGCCATGCTATGCCCAAGTCTCCTGCCAAAATTTCGATGTGAATTTCGGATCTCGATCGCTGGTAATCGCCGAAGGTAACTTATGTAGGTGTGCGACGGTGGAGATGACTAGTTTCGTTGTGTTTTCGGCCGTGATCGACGTGCGGCATGGTGCGAAATGCGTCATTTTTGTTAATCGATCAACAACGACCAACACCGAGCCATTGCCACTTGCGCCAGCTGGGAGCCCGGTGACAAAATCCATTGTCACGTGTTGCTACGGTCGTTCGGGTGGCTTGAGGGGTTGCAGCAATCCGGCTGGCCGTTGTCGTGACGACTTCATGGCTTGGCAGGTGGGGCATGTTGTCTCATAGCGCTGCCCGTCAGCATGTCGGGCCAATAGTAGTTCCGCTGCAACAGCTTGAGTCTTTTGTCGATTCTGAAATGCTCGGAAAGGTTGGAGTCATGTACCTCCTGCGTAAGCAACTCTCTTAAGGGCTAGTAGACTGGTACCCAAATCCGGTTCGTACCGGCTTTTAGGTAGTAGTTGCCATGCTGCGTCGTAGCCCGTCTGTGAATGTTCTTGAAAAGCTTGTCGATCTTGTATCCGTGGGTGAATAGTCCTGTCAGCATCGGGTTGGTGTGGGCGATTAGTACCGCTGTTGTCAGCATGGATGGGCGGGTCAAGGCGTCGGCGATGTTGTTGGCACCTTTCTGGTACGTCATGGTGTACCGAAAATTGGACTCTAGGTAGTCCAACCACCGGATTTGTCGAGGGTTGAGTGTCGGTTGTGTGCGCATGTACTGTAGTGACTTGTGGTCTATTCAGATCGTCACGTCGGCTCGCGTTAGGTAGCAGCACCAGACATGAAATGCGTGGACGATGGCCAGCATCTCTTTGTCATGGACCGGGTAGTTGCGCTCGGGTGGCTGCATCTTGCGTGATTCGTAGGCGATGGGTTGCAGCCCTTTGCCGAAGTCCTGTTATAAGACGGCGCCGACGGCGAAATCGCTGGCGTGCGTGATGAATTCAAACAGTCAAGATGGGTCGGCGAGGCGGAGGACCGGGGGTGAACTCAAAATGTTTTTGAGTGTGTCGAAGGCGGACTGCTCTCTCTCCCCCCCTTGAAAATACGTGTCCTTGTGCAGCAGGTCGGTTAGAGGCTTGGTTATCCCTGCCAGATTAGGGACAAATCGACGAACGTAGTTAACAAAACCAAGAAAACTCTGTGATTCGGGAATGCTGCTCGGCGGCTTCCACTTAGCAATGGCGTCCACTTTGTAGGGGTCAATTTTAATGCCTTCACCCGAAACCACGTGCCCTAGGAACTCCAGCTCCGGCTTCAGGAACTCGCACTTAGAGCCTTTTGTGATGACCCGGTTCTCCTGTAAGCGCCGGAACACCTCCTCCAAATCTTTCGAATGTTCTCATTTTGTCTTGTTGTACACCATGATGTCGTCGAGATACAAGATGACTCTTTTGTTCAGCATGTTTCAGAAGACTACGTTCATAGTCAGCTGGAACGTCAAGGGCGCATTGGTCGGTCCGAACGACATCACTGTATATTCATAACTGTCGTAACGTGTGCGAAAAGCTGTCTTCGGGCAGTCATTGGCGAACACGCGAATCTGATGGTAGCCACCTCGCAAATCGATCTTTGAGAAGAAGCGAGCTCCGCGAAGTTGATCCAGCAGGTCGTCCGCTCTCGGGATCTGGTAACGGAATTTTTTGTGACCCGATTCAGCGCCCGATAATCAATACATATGCGCAGGCCTTCGTCCTTCTTTGGTATGAACAGTATTGGTGCTGCAAATGGCGATGTGCTTGGCCGAATGAACCCCTTGGCGAGCAAGTAGTCCAGTTGGCTTCGCAACTCGTCGAGCTCTGGTTGGCTGAGCCGCCACTGTGTCCGCACGGTGGGTTGCGCTCCGGGTTCCAGCTGGATCCTATGGTCTTCTGGGCGCTGAGGTGGTAGGCCATTGGGTAGGTCATCCGCGAGAATTTCGGGATACTTCCGAATAATACTCGTCAACTCCTCAGGGACTGCCGCGCAGAGCGTGTCGATGTCCGCGATTTTTTCGGTGGCCGCTACCTCGTACAAGTGTACAGCATAGCCTTGGACCCCACTATTGATCACTTGCCGCATCGTGACGGCGTTGACACGTGTCGTCACGGGCTCCGGGTCCGTCCATTCTGGAAGCGTTGTCAGCCCCGTATTTCCTCACACTATGCACACTCCGGTCGTCCAGTAGATTGTCGGATTATATCGCTGCAGCCAGTCTCATCCCAGCATCACATTGCAGCCGTCCAAAGTTGTCACCAGCATCTTCATGCCGAACCCGAAAGTGTTGCCACACTTGATCCGATTTTCCGCGCTTCATCTCGATGGCTAGCGGTGTCCCATCCACCAACCTTGCATCAATCTCCAGCAGACACCTCGTCAGCTTCACCCCAATTTTTTTTTGCCGTTGCCAGATTGACGAGACTGTGGCTCGACCCACCTTCAACAAATGTTTTTATTTTGTAGTCGTTAACCCTCCCCACCACCAGCACAGGCAGTGCACGCGTTCACCCACGTTATTCGTCTGGGTGCAGCCGATAGCTATGATCGGTACAACGGCTCGGTGTGATTGTCGGGCGACAGGGTCTCGTCAGTAGGGCGCTCGTCTGCTACTGACTCGTATCTTTTACCGACCCTTCTCCGCTGTTCCTCTTCCCCTTCTTAAACTTCGGGCAGTCTTTTCTCATGTGGCCCAGCTGGTTGCATGCAAAGCACGGCCCGATGGCTCGGCTAGGCGCATCCACGCCATTGATCGTGGGTTGCTGAGTCGATCAACGAAATTCAGTGCCCTCCCGGGAGCTCATTCTCGCCCACTGCATTAGCGCGTCCGTTGACTCGACTTCCTGGACGGCGTCGTTAAAGCCGTGGTGCAACTATCAGCTTCAACTTCATGGAACTTGGTTGTCCCAGGCAGTTCAGTGGCGAGAGGTTCGTCCAATAAGAAGCCCGGTACGCACACGCTTTATTTGTTCTGCTACTGTTCCTAAGAAGTTGCACCCTTCCTTTGAATGTGCGTGGCCGCGTTCGTCGAACCTCAAACTGTATCTCATATCTTAGGCCCGCCATGTAGCGATCCAACCGCTCCGCGTCGCTCATATCGTCCACTTGGTCCGCCAAGTTGCAGAAGGTGCTAGTGTAGTCTTGGACCAAAGTCAGCTGCTTCCAGGCACGCAGCTTCATGCGAGCAGAATCCGAGGCGGATATGTGCTCGAATCTGGTTCGCAAGGCGGCGCCCCACTCCTTCCATGTGCGTATCGTGGCCGTCCCTAACATCGAAGCTGCTTGTTGCGTGATAGGTGTCAAGGTCCCGTCGTTCGCATGTGCTATTGCTACCGAAGTCCCCTCGTCTTGCAGCCTTTGTTGCCACCACTCCAGCGCAGGTCCCCTCAACAATGATACTGCGAAATCAATGCGGGTGGCATTGTCACAATCATGGCAGCGTTAAAAAACACCTCCACACTAGAAACAGTGACTAGCTTGTCACTTGGGTTAAATGGGGGCAGGTTTGTCGGCTTGATATTGACAGTTGTTGAAGCTGTCATCGATGCTGGAACTGTTGCCGCTGCTAGTGTCATCACCGCCATTGTCGCTGCTGCACGTGTCGGCACTGCACGCGACTGTTGCGGTGACTGTTGCTGCTATTGTGCTTGCCTCGCATCGTTCACATCCACGGAGCCTTTTAGTTCGCTCCAGACCCGCTCGTCTGGCGTGGAGCTGCTACTGGCGTCCTCGACGACAGGTAATTCCTGACGCGCTTCACCACGCGCCTGGTGTAGTTCGGCGTTTTCCTTTCTCAGGTGCTCCATCTTCACAGACATGGTCTGCAAGTTGGTCTGCAGCCCGGAAGTCTTGCATGAACGCGTCAAACTCGGCCTGCTGCATGTTTCTCATGCTTCGTCGGACGGGCAGGGGGTGGCTAGCGATTTTTCTGACTTTGATCAAGGCACAAACGCTATTGTAGTCAGAGTGAAATAATCGTATCTATTTCGTAGGCCGGCCGCTTTGCAGCCCACCAAGTCTATTGCTCCCCTCATATAAACTACCCCGGAAACACGAGGATACCGTATCGCCCCAAATAGTAGCGCCGTCTGATTTAAGGCACCGACGCTTCTATCTGGAGCCATACGCTTATGGCCGGTCCTCAATTATAAGCGCACCCCTTAGAATCCCTGTACTTACTATAAGCGCATCCTTCCTCCCCAGGGGGCAATCTCTTCACTATTTTCTAATCTAAACATTAGTACCTACAGTAACATGAAATCTACACAAGCCTATCTACACATTAAGTTTTACATTCCTAGCTAGAATCTACTCCTCGTCTGAAACTGGCTCCTCGCAGTCGTTGCGAAAGAATCCATTGGCGATGATCTCATCATCGACGTCGACCTCGTAGGTCAGCTGACTCTGCGTGAGCGCCATGGCGAGGCCAGCCTCACTGCCGTCAAGCGTGTTGCTAATGCCACAGGTGAGGAAGGCCTTCTTGATAAGCTCAGGTGGCACAGCCTTCCAGGCCCGTGAGATCCACCTGAGCACTACCGCAGGGGGCGGCTTCTTGATGTTCCCTGCACCACAAGTCAGAGTAAGGGATATGCCGCTAGAACAACATACGGGGGGAAATCAAGCTGCTCTCAAACAATCAATGGGGGGTGTCTTACCTGCAGGCGTCATCCGCTCCTGGCCCTCCTCTTCAAACCAGCTTTGGTACTGCTGGCAGATGGAGGCTTTGAAGGATTTGTTGATCGAGACGTCGAGGGGCGGTACCTCTGCCGTATTGGCCGACAGGATCACCGCCTGCACGATGTCCAGGTCGGCAAACTTCTCCTTCACAGCGTCCGTAAGATGCTAGCGGTAAGAATCTAGAACGACCGTGGCGCTCCTTGCTTGCCTGCCAAACCGGGGCCGGGTAAGGGGCTTGATGCACTTGTTGAGCCAACGCATGACGCCGTCGGCGTCCATCCAGCTGCTCGGGTGCACTGCCACGACCACATCTACCATACCAAACACAGTAAATAAATCTGTGTTAGTTACAACACGGGATAAACCAAACACTCAATAGTAGGGGCTATTCTTTTACCTGGCGGGAAACAACCCTTCGGCACTGTCTTGCGCTTGAAGAAGACCCAGGGCTTGAGCTTCTCCTCGTCCGCCGTGCACGCCAACATGATGGTCACGCGTTCCTTCTGGTACCCCGTGTTCCTCATGGGCACCGAGCGAACGCCCGTCTAGTCCACAGTCGTGGTGGGGGGCATCTCCAGCCACAGCAACGTCTGGTCGGCGTTGATAACCCAGCGGGTTTCGATGCCGCGCTCGTGCATCCGCTTCCACGCTTAGTGCGCTTCCTTGAGCATGTCGGCGGCTCTCTTCCACTCCAAGAGACATTTGCGGTGGATTCCTGACTCACGAGACAACGCTTGCTGGATCTCATCCCAGGGATCGCTTGCTGGGTCTCTTCCCAGAGATCGCTTGCTGGACCTCTTCCCAGGGATCGCTTGCTGGATCTCTTCCAAGGGATTGCTTGCAAGATCTCTTCCCAAGGATCGCTTGCTGGATCTCTTCCCAGGGATCGCTTGCTGGATCTCTTCCCAGGGATCGCTTGCTGGACCTCTTCCCAGGGATCGCTTGCTAGATCTCTTCCCAGGGATCGCTTGCTGGATTTTTTCCCAGGGATCGCTTGCTGGATCTCTTCCCAGGGATCGCTTGCTGGATCTCTTCCCAGGGATCGCTTGCTGGATCTCTTCCCAGGGGTCGCTTGCTGGATCTCTTCCCAGGGATCGCTTGCTGGATCTCTTCCCTCTCCACCTCTCTCTCTTCTTCTATGCTGCCCCCCAACCCCTCCAGAACACCATCAAAGATCGTTTGCTACACCTGTCACCAGGGGAAATCAAGGTGTTATTGAAATCACTTGTGAGAATTCTCAAAAATGATTTCAACATAGCTGCTGCACCTGTCACCATGAGACATCAAGTCATTCATGCACGTTACTATCCCTTCTTTCCCCCAGTCCTCCTCTCCCAACCTTCTGTTCTTTCCGTCACCCTCCCCTTCCTCCCCCGTCTTTCAGAATATCATAAACGACCGCTTTTTGCACCTGTCACGGGGGGACATCAAGTCATTCATGCAGATTGCTTTTCCTCTCGCAAGCTGTCCTTTGTATTATATCGGTCATAGGTACATGCAAATGGGCGAGAAGAAACGGTCCTCTCTCTCTCTCTCTCTCTCTCTCTCTCTCTCTCTCTCTCTCTCTCTCTCTCTCTCTCTCTCTCTCTCTCTCTCTCTCTCTCTCTCTCTATCCCCCTTTACCTTCCCCCCCCCTTTCCTCTCCTTTCTTCCATCCCCCCCTCTCCCCCCCTTCCTCCCTCAGAACATTATCAAGGATTGATCGCTGCAGCTCTCCCCAGCGGACATCAAGGCGTTCATGCGCATGAATCACCCTCCCTTAAGCCCTCTGTCCTCCTCTTCCTCTTCCCCCCTTTTCTTACCCTCGGTCCTCCACTCTCACCCCTCTCCCGACCTCCCCTCCCTCCCCTGTCTCTCACAACATCATCAAGGATCGCTCGCTGCACCTCTCTCCGACCGACATCAAGGCATTCATGCGCATGACTCTAGAGGGGCTAGCATACCTCCACGGAAAATGGGTGCTGCACTGGTGGGTACTGCGCAGCGCAGGTGGGTGCTGCACAGGAGGGTGAAAGTGTGCTAGTGCAGTGTGCTATACGGGGATGCACGCATGACACTAGCTGGGCCCACATATTGCCACGGAAAATGGGTGCTGCACCGGTGGGTGCTGCACAGGTGGGTGGGTGATTCGCATGATGGTAATGTCTGATTATGATCTGATAAATGTTGGTTTGTCTTATGATGATTTGTACGATGGTCGTTCTTTCGATGGTGGCTCATCTGATGATGCTTCATTTGATAACACTTGGTCTCAAGAGTCTGATGGTGGTTTTCCTCCCACCTCCCCATGCATTCATGCAGAGATATGACTTCGCACCCTACCACACCCCTGTTCACACCTTGCTGGTTTCGGCAGCCCTGATCGCAAGCTGGCGCACCACGTGTTTACCAGGCCCTCTTTTCCTGCCCCGTCTTCCCCACCCACTCCCCGCCCACCCCCTCAGGGACATGAAACCCACCCAACAATCTCCTCATCGGCCCAACAGGGGAGCTCAAGATCGCTGATTTCATCCCTCGCCATCCCCCACCTCCATCCACTCCCCCTTGACTTGGCCCCCCAACCAAACACCTCTCTTTCTCACCCACTCACTCCACCAACCAACCAACCTCCCCACCACCCCCACAGGGACATGAAGCCCAACAACCTCCTCATCGGCCCAACACGCCATCTCAAGCCCACACCTTCCCACCCACCTCCCACCCACCCACCCCCCACCTACCACCCACCCACGCCCCACCCACGCCCCACCCCCACAGGGACATGAAGCCCAACAACCTCCTCATCAACCCAACAGGGGAGCTCAAGATCGCTGATTTCAACCCGCGTACTCTAAACCTTCCCACACCTTCCCACCCACCCCCACCCCTGCCCACATCCCCACCCATAGGGACATGAAGCCCAACAATCTGCTCATCGGCCCAACAGGGGAGCTCAAGATTGCGGATTACGGCTATGCTCGCCTTTTTGGCAGCCCCGACCGCAAGCTCACCCATCAGGTGTTTGCGCTCTGGTACCGGGCCCCTGAGCTACTGTTTGGGAGCAAGGCTTATGGGTCGGGCGTGGACGTGTGGGGCGCTGGCTGCGTGTTTGCTGAGCTGCTGCTGCGGCGGCCCTTCCTGCAGGTATGCCCTACTCTGCACTGCTCTGCCACCCCTAGACTAAGTGAGCTCACCCACCAGGTGTGCGCTCTGGTACCGGGCCCCGGAACTGCTGTTTGGAAGTAAAACATATGGGTCGGGCGTGGACGTGTGGGGCGCTGGCTGCGTGTTTGCAGAGCTGCTTCTCAGACGACCTTTCTTACAGGTATGCTCTCCTCTGCTCTGCTCTGCTACTCCTACAACCAGCAAGCTCACCCTCCAGGTGTTTGCGCTCTGGTACCGGGCCCTGGAGCTGCTGTTTGGCAGCAAGCAAGTTGACCCAGAGGTCCAAGATCACCCAGAGGCAGCAACCAAGCTCACCCACCAGGTGTTTGCGCTCTGGTACTGCGCGCCTGAGCTGCTCTTTGGAAGTAAGGCATACGGGTCGGCCGTGGACGTGTGGGGCGCCGGCTGCGTGTTTGCAGAGCTGCTTCTCAGACGGCCTTTCTTACAGGTATGCTCTCCTCTGCTCTGCTCTTAGAACCAGCAATCTCACTCAGAGGCAGCAGCAACAGCAAGCGATCTCACCCACCAAGTGTTTGCGCTCTGGTACTGCGTGCCTGAGCTGCTGTTTGGGAGCAAGGGAGGTCAGCTATAGTATAGCCCCAAGGTCACTTAGAGGATGCGGCCAAGCGCTGCTCTCCTTTCCCCCAGTTCCCCTCCATCCAACAACTCTCCCCCTTCCCTCCCCTCTTTCCCACACCTCTCTCAGGAATCAATCGACATCGACCAATTGGGGAAGATTTTTGCTGCCCTGAGCACCCCGCGGGAGGACCAATGGCCGGACATGCAGTGCCTGCCCGACAACGTGCATTTCAACTTCTTCATTCCTCTTCCCCTTCCCATGCATCTCCCTTCCTCTCCAGGCCTTTCACTCCTTCCCCATTCCGCTCTCCTCCCTTTGACACCTCTTCCTTGTGCCTCTCCTCCCTTTGACACCTCTTCCTTGTGCCTCTCCTCCTCTCCTCTCCCCCTCCCCTTCCTCCCTCCCCTTCCCCCCTCCCCTCTCCCCCACGTATCTCAGGGATCAAGTGACATTGACCAATTGGGGAAGATTTTCGCTGCCCTGGGCACGCCGCGGGAGGACCAATGGCCGGACATGCAGTGTCTGCCCGACTACGTGCATTTCAACTTCTGCCCGGCGCCGCCCCTCAAGTCACACTTCCCCATGGCTGGCGATGACGCCTTAGACCTGCTGTCTCGCATGCTCACCTTCGATCCGAACAAGCGCATCACTGCTGCTCAAGCCCTGCAGCACCGGTGAGCACACACACACATACACATATGCATGCATGCTCGTTTAGGCTTCTGCCCAGCGCCGCCCCTCAAGTCACACTTCCCCATGACTGGCGACGATGCTCTCGACCTTCTGTCTCGCATGCTCACCTTCGATCCGAACAAGAGGATCACAGCCGCTCAAGCTTTACAGCACCGGTGAGAAACTCATGTGTGCATGCAGTACCGACATATATGGTAGTCCTGTCGCCCCTCAAACAAGTGCATCACAGCTGCCCAGGCTTTACAGCACAGGTAAGTGTGTCATGCATCACATGTATGCGGTCGATATATGCATGGTAGTGCTGCCGCCCCTCAAGTCACACTTCCCCATGGCTGGCGACGATGCTCTCGACCTGCTTTCCCGCGTGCCCACCTTCGATCCGAACAAGCGCATCACAGCTGCTCAAGCCCTGCAGCACCGGTGAGCTTACGCACACACACATATATGCATGCAGTACTTTACATATACACACACACACACACACACACACACACATATATACGCATGCAGTACTTTACATATATACATACACACACACACATATATGCATGCAGTACTTTACATATATGCATACACACACACATATATGCATGCAGTACTTTACATATATACATACACACACACATATACACACACACACATTTGCATGCAGTACTTTACATATATACATACACACACACACATATGTGCATGCAGTACTTTACATATGCACACACACACGCACATACACACACACACACACATATGCATGCAGTACTTTACATATATACATACACATACACTTACGCATGCGTGCTCGTTTAGGCTTCTGCCCAGTGCCCCCCCTCAAGTCACACTTCCCCATGGCTGGCAAGGCAGTGATGCCCTCGACCTGCTCTCCCGAATGCTCATGTTCGACCCCAACAAGCACATCACTGCTGCTCAAGCTTTACAACACCGATCAGCAGCTCATGTGTGCATGCAGTGCCGTCATGGATGTATGGTGTCATGTATGCATGGTAGTGCTGTCATCCCTTAAGTCACACTTCCCCACGACAGGCGAAAATGCCTTAGACCTGCTGTCCCGAATGCTCACGTTTGACCCCAACAAGCGCATCACAGCTGCTCAAGCTTTACATCACCGGTGAACAAGCCACTCATTTGCATGCAGCGCCAGTGAGTGAGCCACTGGGACCCTATAACCCCCTCAAGTAGGCATGGGGGCCACCTACAGCCCTGCTGTGCTCGCTCGCGTGCACAGTCCATGCAGCTGCGGTGAGTGAGAGGGACTAGGCTTGTATGCATTGTGCGCTGTGCTTGAACTACTCCCCCACATTGCATGGTTACCTTCAGATTCCAACAAGCACATTACAGCCACATTGCCCAGCCTTTACTGCCCTGGTGAGTAATTAAGGTTCGCTCATGCATGTGCACTCACATAGGCTTACGTATGCATGGCAATGCTTTACATACGCAGGACTGTTGACTGACAGTGGCTCGCCCACCAGCCACCAAGCCGAAGGACCTGCGTCGCCCTCCCTCTTTACTCCTTGCCCCTTAACACCACCTCGCCTCTCTAATCCACCCTCCTACTCACCTCCTCCCCTTCCCCCTGCCATTTTCCTCCTCGGCCCACCAGCCACCAAGCCCAAGGATCTGCCTCGCCCACCTCCAAAGCCCTCTGGCAGCGACTTCCCCCCCGCCTCCATCCCTGTCGGCTTGGCGCCCATCGCCCCAGATGCAGCAGCAGCTACTGCTGATGCTGCTGCTGCTCTTGAGATTACCAACACTCCCCTCCCCTCTCTTACCTACGCTCCCCTTGCCTTCTTCACTTGTCTCTCTTCCCGACCCCTCTCCCCTCCCCCCCCCACCAGCTATTTCCTCCTCGGCCCACCAGCCACCAAGCCCAAGGACCTCCCAAGCCCTCTGGCAGTGACTTCCCCCCCGCCTCCATCTCTGTTGGATTGGCACCCATCGCCCCAGATTTAGCAGCTGCTCCTCTTGATGCTGCCAACAATCCCCTCCCCTCTCTCTTTCCCTCACCATTTACACTCTCCCCTCCCCTTATCCCACTTCCTGTCACGTCTCCCCTCCCTTCCAGCTACTTCCTGCTAGGCCCACCAGCCACCAAGCCCAAGGACCTGCCTCGCCCGCCTCCCAAGCCCTCTACCAGCGACTTCCCCCCTGGCTCCATTCCTGTCGGCTTGGTGCCTATCGCCCCAGATGCAGCTTCTGCTACTCTTGATGCTGCTAATGGTGCTACTGCTGTCGGTGCTGGTGGTGTTTGTGAGGATCTGGTTCAGGAAAGATGATTCTATTGAATGATTCACCTGGGTACAAGGCGAGGCTATATATAGGCTCGACACAAAGGCAGTAACCCGGGTGTGACTAGAAGGTTCCGCGGGTCGCGAAGCGTCCCGAACGGGTCCTTCCCGAATTCGGTAGAAGGCAATTCGGTGGCAACCGAAAAGCCTAGAATTCGGTGCACTCAACCTAGTTCGGTGCCTAAACCTATAACAACATAGTAAAAGCTACGAACCTTGGAAATCTAGCAAAAGCAAGCAAAATAAAGCAAAGCTAAGCTAGATAATGCATAGTAAAGCAGAATCAAGCTACTAAAGCGTAGCAATGACGTCGTACTCTCACATGTCCCCCCCTCAAAGCTGGGTGGCGTGAGAAACACCCTGCTTGACAAGATAGTCCTTGAGAGCACGGCGTGCGTTGCCCATATCAGCTTCTGCAACCCAACTGTCCTCCGATGGGTCATATCCCCTCCAGCGTATCAGGAACTCGAGCGTGTTGCCGCGTCTGCGTCGATGAGCGAGAACTTTTTCCACCTCGTACTCTGGTTCATCCTGTATGAGAACAGGTGATGGTGGCGGTAGTTGTCGTCCCGTAACCCGCTGGTTGGGGTCCTTGTAGGGTTTCAGCAGCTGAACATGGAAAGCGTTGTGAAGCTTCCACGTAGTAGGTAAGCGCAAGCGGAATGTAACTGGTGTCATGATCGCCTCAACGCGAAAGGGACCACAGAAGCGAGGCCGGAGCTTGGACGGTAGGTGAGACAGGTTCAAGTTGTGCGTGTCAAGAAGCACCTGATCTCCGACTGCTACTGAGTGATCACGTCGCTGGCGATCGGCATACTGCTTCTGGGAGTTCTGCATCATGGTGAGACGTCGCTGAGTCTTCTCCCATAACTGCTGCATGGTGGTGACGAAGTCGTGTGCGACTTGGACGTGTGCCGGTGTGGTTGGCTGCTGTGGTGTAAGTGGTTCCCGTCCGTAGCACAGGAAGAATGGAGATTTCCCTGTGGCCGGGAAGAGGAAACAGGACAGGGGCAGGGGTGGGCCGAAGTCAGAGGTAAGGAGTAGGGAGAATAGAAGAAGGGACGGAAAATGAAAAACATACTATTTATAAAAGTAACGCATCTGCCCAGAAGTAACGCATCAGGTTGGGGGCATGGAGAAGAAGAGTAAGAGGGCAAAAGGGGCGAATGCAAGGCAAAAAGGGCGAATGAAAGGCAAAAGGGGCGAATGAAAGGCAAAAAGGGCGAATGAAAGGCAAAAAGGGCGAATGAAAGGCAAAAAGGGCGAATGAAAGGCAACAAGGGCGAATGAAAGGCAAAAAGGGCGAATGAAAGGCAAAAAGGGGCGAATGAAAGGCAAAAAGGGCGAATGAAAGGCAAAAAGGGCGAATGAAAGGCAAAAAGGGCTAGAAGCATAAACCAACCCAAAAGAAAATACTGCTGCCATGTGGGCTTGCCCCCACCTGCCCCCTCGCCCCCACCCGCCCATTTGCCCGCACCCGCCCCTTTCCCGCACCTGCCGCCTTGCATGCTGTCAATAAGGATCCAGTCAGGTTGTGGATAGGCGGAGGAAGATGAGGCGGAGGAGGAAGAGGAGGAGGTGGCGAGGGAGGAGGGCAGGGGGGTTTTCACAACGCGGTGTGAGTCGGCGTGTATAACAAAGATGGTGGATAGCCAGGGGGGGAGGTGGGGGAGGGATGCTCGCGCTGTGTCCCCATGGAGCTGTGGGGTAGAGGAATGGGGAAAGGGCGTGGGGGAAGGAAGGGAAGAAGGGTTCACAGGGAGGAGTGTGAGTCGGCATGGAGCACGAAGGTGGTGGATAGCCAGGGGGGCAGGTGGGGGAGAGCTGCTCGTGACGTGTCACCGTGGAGGTGAGGTGGAGGCGTGGGGTGGGAGGGAGGGAGGGGGAGAGAGCTTTAAGAGGGTGTTGGGCAGGCGGTGGTGAGGGAGGGACGGCATGGGAATTCATTGGGTGATAAGCATGCCACGCGAGGAAAAGATAACATGTATGACCAATCTGGGTGATGGTGGGGGCGCCATACGATGGTCAATTCGACGTATGCTTTGTCGGTACTAGATCACAGAACCACCCCATTCTAATCTATGTCAGCCGTCTCCCCACTTCTCCCCCCGTCTCCCCAGTCTTCCCCCATCTCCTCGGTCTCCCTGGCCCCCTCCGCCTCCCCCCATCTCCCCCGTCTCCCCCCGTCTCGCCCCGTCTCGCCTCCCCTCCCCCCGTCTTCCCCCGTCTCCCCCCCGACTTCCCCCGTCCCCCCCCGTCTCCCCCCGTCTCCCCCCGTCTCTCCCGTCACGGGAAAAATCCCAGCTCCCAAAAGCATCCTGAAACAATCCCCCGAGAGGCTTTCGGGTCACTTTTCACCACCATCCCAGAAGTGTCTTTCAGGAACAACTACCTGACTGGTTTGGGAGTCCCGAAACTGTCCGACAAGACTCTTTTGAACCATCCCCGAAGACCCTTGAGAGACGCGTGTGAACATTTTGGAAACATTTACTGTTCCGCATAGGACAAAAAGACAGTTTGGGGACATTTACTGTTCCGCCTAGCGCTTCGTGGGGGCTGATTATACTTTTGGGATGCTTCATGCTGTGATTGGAGCACATGCAGTTCGGCTTTAAGTCCCTCCCTGGTACGTAAAAGTGTTTATTGCCAAACATGTTCAACAACTATTTTTAAATCACAATGTTAGTTTAAACAGTCAACAGTATACATTTCCCCGATAGTATAATCCACAATCGTAATAAAACCAGCGCATCTGCATTTGACAATCAAAAAGTAGCCATAGTAAAGAGGAATTTCACTTGGAAAATGACTACTGCGGGAGAAAACGGGAAAGCATGTACAAACCAGGGAGCTGGTTACGACATTATACCCCTGCAACAAGAAATAACAAAATGACAGTTTAGAAGGCTAACATTCAACTGCCCACACACTAGAACGAAAGCTGCAGTGGATTTTGCTTTAGTTTTACAAAAACATAGAAATAAACCATGTCAATAATATCTCAACATCCAATGACGGTTAGGGAGATCATCAAGTGGGTAACGACACCTAGACGACATAAAAAGCATTGCAACGACACTTCGTAAAAAAATTACTGCACATTTGCATGACGTACCTTCATTGATGCCAGACTGAAGAGGAACACTTGGTCCTTCGTGAGAATCATCATCCACTGCAACAAAGATGTAAAAAAAAAAAAGAAGGGTAGAACCGTGCATAATTAGACCATCATAAAGTGGTCGATGGAAGGCGACACACATAAAACCAGGTAGTCATTACTAGGAGCAACACATACAGAGAGATATATCAGGAATCGTACAAGCGAAGCTATTACTTGAACATAGCGGTGTTTCAACGGTGGTAAATAAGAAGTAAATACGTGTTTCTGTTTTGGGGACAAAACAACTAGCAGAAGAACTGATCTTCATTTTGAAACTTAGGCTCGTCAGAAGCTTAACATCTACGGACAGTGGAAAACGAGTGCGAACACAACTAGAAGTGGAATACGAGTTACCAGGAACCTAAGGAACAAACTTGACAGACACAAAGATAGAACACGTATAATGAGTGTGGGCAACAAGAGTCGACTCAAGTTAAAGGCAGTCAGTTTTGAACCAAGATGGGTAAAGATGTGTTTCAGTTGGGTTTAGGAAGTTTTTGCATAGGTAAACTGGTTGGGTCAGAATACAGGAAGTCGATATGACAGGTAGTTGACAAGTGTTGATTGTGTGGTGTGCACGTGTATTATTTCAGCGCAGGTGGCAGGTGAAAAATGATGTGTGCATGACAGATGGCGCGAATGTTATCTGCCTCCCAGGTGACGCTGAGTTGGCGTCATCTGTGAGGCTCACAATTTCGCCTCCCTTCCCCCAGGCTCGATAGTTTGTGGGTGGGGGTGGGGGGGGACTAGAGAAATTGGCGAGAATTTCGCCTCCCCTCCCCCCTCGATCAATTGTTTGTGAATGGGGGGACTAGCGAAATTGGCGAAACGTTCGCCCTTCCCCCCCTTCGATCGACTGTATGTGAGGGGGGAGAAGGGGAAGGGTGGGGGGGGGAAGGGGAAAGGTGGATTAACGAGACTTACGAAATTGGCGACAGAGATTGATTCCTGCAATTCAATCTGTTTTTGATATAAACTGATTCAACAAAGAGACCAAGCGGAATTGCATGTATAATGATATGAGAAGTCATTTTCGAGGACATTTACGATAATGTTACGATACTGCTATGTCAGAATCCCAGTCACTAACCACTGGGATAAAAGGGCTTGTTTATATAGCGGGTGAGTGCGCCCATAACCCCCCAGGCCGACGTGCCTGTAACCCTTCCCTAGGATCATCGGGGATCTCCAGTGGACCTCTGACACCCCCCCGCACTGGGATGCCCGAAGTGCACACACCGGGAATCGAACCCGAGACCTTCGCTCTGATACCATGTCAGAATCCCAGCCACTAACCACTGGGATAAAAGGGCTTGTTTATATAGCGGGTGAGTGCGCCCATAACCCCCCAGGCCGACGTGCCTGTAACCCTTCCCTAGGATCATCGGGGATCTCCAGTGGACCTCTGACATGCTACTGTTTCCGTCATCATTCTATAATTTATTTTCATATTAAATGCATGACCGTAAATGCTAACGAAATCATATACGTCTAATTTTATTAAAATCATCATTATGCATTACGCATTGTTTTTACGTGAAGTAACTACATATTGTTGTAGTCAACTAGCACTATCTGTAGTAGTGGGTCGACTGGACTCGACACATTTGAGAGGAAAAAATTGGCTCACGTCTTTCGCGACGATTCGAAGATTCGAACCCATGAGATTTCCGTCTAGCACTTTCGCAACCACTAGGCTATTACACACGTTCTGGAGTTTCGGAACAACTTAGTAAATTTCGCGAAACCTGTAGGGTCAAGTTTAGGATCGAACAGTTTCGGAAACCACTGTACACTGTCCCGAATTTCCCTTTCGGAAGTGTAGACATATTTGGGACGTTTTTGGGAGACCCCGATGAGTCTTTCGGGAAGGCCCTTTTGGGGGGATTGTTTTGGGATCTCAACTTTTTTGTGATGGTCTCCTGCGCGACGGGAAGTTAGATATGGCGAGTAGCGTTTCCATATAGAAGCCATACCTGCGCGACGAACACTCCGGCCTCTCTACAAGCTGCTTCGATTTCAGCCGCACTTTCGTCCACGAACACGCCGACTGGCACCGCGCCGCCAGACCTCGCGGCCGCCGCGACTCGCGCCGCCACTGGCAAGGCGATCGACCGCTTCGCTTTGGGCCACAGGATCATGCCGACGAACGCGGCGCCATTTGCGGCGGCGAACGCGGCGTCTTCCTTGTTGGAGGTAGCGTGTGATTGAAGCAAGGTGGTGGTGGGGCGGTTGTATGCCCCCAACCCACCGAATGTGTTTCGGTGCTCATGAGTTTCGTGAAGCTGCAGGTTTCGAAGTGAGTGGGTTGACTTCGGAAGACCCATCGATTCGGTGCCACATGGCAGCACCAGGAACATTCGAGACCCAAGGAGAATTCGGATCGGTGAAATTCGAGGGTCGAATTTCACCCCTTCGAAATGTTACTCGAACATTCGCGAGTGTACCGCGGTTCGAGGTTACATGTGCGACTCGATGTTTGCAGTTCATATAAAATTGTGTTGCTTTGTATTGCATGGATCATACTGAAATTGAGAATCACTTTGTAAGTGATACATTCGACTACAAAATCCAGAGAGCTCCTATCCTTTGTTCTAAGAGCACTAGCAAGCACATAAAAGCCTACAACTCCCTCGTTACTTGGGCGAATCGTGTGTTTGACGGCTCGTTGGAAAGCCAGCAGAGTGCTCTATCATTTAGTGCAGATCCCAGTTCCTGCAAGGTAGAGGAGAGTCCTTTACATCAGTGGTATCAGAGCTGGTCGGAGGAGTTTACGCGAGCGACGAGAAGCAAGCATGCCGACTTCAAGCGAGGCCTCCCGCACTTCCTTGGATGGTGTCGTTGTAAATTCCGGCGAACCCTGGGCAGCCGCGACGATGTACGACACGTCGGCGGTACCGATTTTCACGGGACAAAACTACTCCGCGTGGAAGTTTAAGTTCCAAGTGCTCATGATGGAGCGGGGACTTTGGGGTCTCTTCGATGGGACGGAGAAGAAGCCGGACGACGAGAGCGACATCGCGGCTTGGAAGAAGAAGGACCAAAAGGCGTTCGCTACGCTAATCTCGCGGATCGGCATCAACCTCGTGAGCTCGGTGCGCACGTGCATCAAGCTCGAAGCGTCGGCGCATGAGGCGTGGAAGCGGCTCGAGACGATTCACGTAAACAAGACCCTTCATGGCAAGATCCTAGCCCGGAACGCGTTCTACACGGTGAAGTTGCGCGCGGGCGAATCGATGCACGAGTATGCGACTCGTGTGGAGGAACTTGGGGAAACGTTCGTAGACCTCGGTGGAACGGTCACGGAGGAGGATTGGATTTTGACCTTGCTTTGCGGTCTTCCGGAAGAGTGGTCGACAGTGATAACGACACTCGATAGCGTGCAAGACACTTGGACAAAGGAAACGGTGGTCGGTCGGCTTCTCCATGAGGAATCGCGTCGCCGACAATTCGCTAATGAGAGCGTGGAGACCGCCATGTTCTCCGGAGGGAGTTCCGGAGGAAAGTCCAAGTGGAGCAAGGGTGCGACGAAGAAGTCGTACGGTGGAAGCGATCGCGGCAAGGGGAACACATCAAACGGCGCGAGCAAGTTCCACTATTGCGGCAAAGCGGGACACTTTTGGCGAGAGTGTCGGAAGCGTCCGAGCGATTGGACTCCATCAAAGGCGCGGAACCAAGAGGGCAACGCGCACACGGCATCCGGCGAGGCGGATGATACAAGGGAGTCGATCGTGTTATTGGCCGGTGACGGGACCAACACTCCAAACGACGCGTGGTTCCTTGACACCGGCGCAACACAACACATGACGCACTCGGCATCATTCCTCACCAACGTTGGTGCACCGGTAGACGTCACGCGCGTCGTCTTCAGAAACGGCAAGTCGCTACCGGTGGTCGGAGTTGGGAGTACGCGTCTCATCGTCGATGGCGGACCGGTGGACATCACGAACGTGCTTCACGTCCCGGGATTGAAGGTGAATCTACTCTCCGTCACTCAACTCGCGAAGAAGGACGTGAAGGTCACCATCGATGGCGCGACGATGAACCTCTTTTGGAAGGGGAAGCAATTCGCACAAGGCGTTCTCAACGGAGAACTTTACCAACTCAAGACGCACCCGAGAGCGGCTTCATCCAACATGGCTTCATCCAACGTGGCGCAAGGCTCTAAGACAACTCTCAAGGCATGGCATAATCGGCTTGCGCACGCCAACTACGACTCGGTCAAGGAGTTGGTCAACAAAGGACTCGCGAAGGGAGTCGACGTGATCGCCGGCGACGACGAGAAGGGCGTGTGCACGGCGTGTGTCGAAGGAAAAATGGCTCGCAAGCCATTTGGTAGCCGAACGTCACCCCTCGCTAAGGACCCGCTTGCGCTTGTTCACATGGACGTGTGTGGACCGATGCGGCATGCATCAAAGGGAGGAGCGCGGTTCCTCTTGGTGATGCTCGACGACGCGACGCGGATGTGTTGGACCCGACTCTTGAAGGCTAAGGGAGATGCGGCCAAGGCGATTCAAGAGTGGGCGCTCGAAGTTTGCGACGACGACAAGAAGCGGATCAAGTGTATTCGCACCGATGGTGGTGGCGAATTCGTGAACGCGGAGCTTGAGAAATGGATGAAGAGCAAGGGCATTAAGCACGACGTTACGACACCCTACACACCCCAACAAAATGGAGCGGCGGAGCGGCTTAATCGCACGTTGGTGGAAGCCGTTCGTTCACTACTTCAACACTCCAAGCTTGGGCACGAGTGGTGGGGAGAGGCGAGTGCGCTAGCGGCGTGGATTCGCAACCGTTTGCCGACAAAGGTGCTCCCGGGAACGACTCCGTTCGAAGCATGGACCGGAACGAAGCCGAACCTATCCCGCCTACGCACCTTTGGATGCCTTTGCTACTACCATGTCCCGGATCCTCTTCGCCACAAGTTGCAACCGAAGGCTCGTGCGGCAATCTACTTGGGAGTTGCGGCAAACGAGCGTGCGTGGCGAGTGTGGGACTTGGATGAAAGGCGCGTCGTCACATCCCGAGACGTGGTATTCGATGAAGACAAGTTCCCGTCGAAGGAGAAACCCACTGAACAAGTCACCTTCATCCTTCCGCCACGAGAGGAGGTTGAAGAGAGTGAGTCTCCACCCCAAGTGGAGAAGGAAGCCGAAGATGGAGGGGGAGAGGACAACGAGGAGAGCGTTGATGATGTCGTGGAGGTGTCACCTACCAAGGCGGCAACTACCTCCACACCTACCTCCCTACCATTGGCCTTGACCCGCGGGCGTCGTGAAGTTCGTCATCCCCCCAAGTACAACGACTATGCTACGGTAGCCGTTGGGGAGACGGATAGGGAGGGCGCGGCATTTTGCTTCGCGACCAAGGGTGATGATGAACAAGCGGAACCTCTCATGGAACCACCCCCTAAAGATCCATCCCGTGCATGCTACGAGCATGTCGGATTGCACACCTAGTGGGTTGGGTGCAAGGGGGAGTGTTGGAGGTGGCGTGTGATTGAAGCAAGGTGGTGGTGGGGCGGTTGTATGCCCCCAACCCACCGAATGTGTTTCGGTGCTCATGAGTTTCGTGAAGCTGCAGGTTTCGAAGTGAGTGGGTTGACTTCGGAAGACCCATCGATTCGGTGCCACATGGCAGCACCAGGAACATTCGAGACCCAAGGAGAATTCGGATCGGTGAAATTCGAGGGTCGAATTTCACCCCTTCGAAATGTTACTCGAACATTCGCGAGTGTACCGCGGTTCGAGGTTACATGTGCGACTCGATGTTTGCAGTTCATATAAAATTGTGTTGCTTTGTATTGCATGGATCATACTGAAATTGAGAATCACTTTGTAAGTGATACATTCGACTACAAAATCCAGAGAGCTCCTATCCTTTGTTCTAAGAGCACTAGCAAGCACATAAAAGCCTACAACTCCCTCGTTACTTGGGCGAATCGTGTGTTTGACGGCTCGTTGGAAAGCCAGCAGAGTGCTCTATCATTTAGTGCAGATCCCAGTTCCTGCAAGGTAGAGGAGAGTCCTTTACATCATTCCTCGGACGTAACACCGCAGATTTTGGCATTGGGACGAACGGATGTGGCTGACGTGGCAGGCGTAGCTGGCGTGGTTTTTTCCGAAACCGCCTTCGCTGCTATAGACATCAAAAGGTTGCCACGTGGCATTCTACGATTGATAGGCCCATCTTTGCGCACACGCGTTAAATCTACAGGAAACAGTGAGCTTGCGAACTGGATGTTGGTCGAGCCGAGGAAATGCGAACGCCGGCGAAATGCCGGCGCGGAATGCGGGGGATGATTAATGGTTGGAATGGCAACGGAGGCCATGGCTGAACGCTTCACCGCGCCGCGAGACCTAGACTCACCACTGACCTCCAAGGACTGAGAGGTTTCATTGTTCGCGGGTGGCGTGTGAGGGAGCTGAAACAACAATAAGGTTTGGAGGTGGGGTACATTGATCTTAGGCTATACGGAATGTGGAAGTTCAAAAAGACTTTCGGTCTGTTGGATTTCTTGTAACTTGGCGCTTGGTTGTTTCGAAATGCCCAAAGTGCGATCGTCTACTGTTGATCCACCCGAAGCTGTGTACTGAAGATGACACTGTCACAAATATCGTATTTCGGTTCGACCTAAACCGCGGTCTCAAGTTTGCCCACCATCAAAGTTTGCCCACCATACCGTTTTTCCAAAGCTAATGGGCAATTTGGTGGTAATACTCCTACTCTGACCACCAAACCTCATTCTGGCGGGCGACTGGGGTCGCAGTTTTCGCATGTCAGGAATCCAGCCGAAGTGACTTCGCCTCCAATGGAATTCGCGCCTTTGCTCGCATACGTATGGTTCGACGACAATTGTTACGCAGAACACTGACGGCCAACCCTGTTGGCCGCGACTCTTCAAAAGATTTCCCGCTTGAACAAAACCGAACACAAATACGTGGGCAGCGGGTTAAATGAATTTTGACGACGACTTGCATGAGTCAACCGATTCAACGGCCAACTTCATACATACTCAAATTATTCCCGAGCGAGTTCTCATGTGTAATCACCAACAGAAACACAGTTCCGCGATATAGTATTAGTCTATTCCGGTTGTTTTCTGTATACAGTCACTAAAAACAATTACAGCACCTGAATGAAATCTTTACAACCTGTAGCGGACCTGTATGAATTTCGGAACGGATCAACCCTAAATACAATGGGAAGCCGCCCAATATTTTGAAAAAAAAACATAATGCATACCACCTGACCCAAAAATAAAACCCATTCGGAAAGGGATGCAACTCGGGAGGCATCAACCCTAAAAACAATGCCCTTTCCCGTGTTTAGGGTTGATCCCTCCCAGAAATGCGTCCACTCTCCCTAGAGGGTTTATTTATTTTCGGCCCTGTCGTAAATTTCCGTACTTTAATCTAACACATCCAATTCTAAATTTCCGTAAACCATCTAAACTGGATGGTTGTGTTTTTGTCACTTCCTAGAGACTTCGACCAGCATGAAATGTAACTAAAAAGCGACAACCAATCAACGTTGAGAAAGTCCAGGTTGATTACACCTGAGAACCCGCTCGGGAATGATTTGAGTATGTATGAAGTTGGCCGCCGATTCAACGTCAGAGTGTCAAAACAGAGAAAAAATTGCACGTTCGGTGTTCTCGCACACTGTCGGACAGAGCAGTCGTAGCCATCGTGGCCGGTTGGAATGATAGTGGGCAAACGTCGAACCGCATGGGCAAACTTTCAAATGTGAATTAATGCCACGTCAACATTTCGAGTCGCATGGGCAAACTTCGGATGGTGGGCAAACTGCGCCCTAAGTGTACTCGTTTGTTCAATGATTCGGTACTAACTCCGGACTTTTCCAGAGACGAGACTTGAAATGTTTGGGCGATTACGTTATTGCCACTACGAATCCATGATATCTCGCACCGCTCTCGCAAACGGCGAGAATTATTTGCCAGAGAGATGCGCTTTGCTCGCATTGAGAAAATCGTTTCTCATTAGGGATGACTCCTCGATTGTCTCGCCCGTGTTTCTCGTGACGCTCTCTTATTAGCAGCAATGTCGATGATTCATATCCATCTAATCCATGGCGTTTTCGACTGAAGGCGGCAAGATCGATGGTACCATCGCTGATAGAAACCACCGGTGTTCTTATTTAGCGTCTTAAGAAGACGAGGACAAAAAGCCGCTTTTTGATAGATTGAATTCTAATTTGAACTAGAGAGTTTTGCGAGGTCAATCTGCCCCTGTCAACAACCTCTCCTGCATCGGCGCGCAGCTGCTGCTCGGTACGACGGGGCGAGTCTACCGGTACAGCTGTCTAGGCCAGTATCGCTACGACTAGGCCAGTATCGCTACGACTAGGCCAGTATCGCTACGACTAGGCCAGTATCGCTACTATCGGTACGATCATTTCGGCTGCTGCCACGTGGCAGCATATGGCTGTGGATTCGTGGGCGACGCGGAACCCGTTCTTCGATGACGGGCTCCACGCATGGTACGCGCTACGAGGCGGCGACGACACGTGTCGCCTCGTGATAAGCGCGAGTACGTCACGCGAGAAGGCCGGGGACGGCATGGCGCAGGACATTCCAGGTCGACTCGGTGTGCAGCGGTGCGCAGCGGTGGTGGGGCGTAAGGAGGCATGGAACGGTATGGCGCAGGACATTCACACGCGTCTCACGCCCGACTGCCGCTACAGTGTCACCGCTGACGTCAGCGTGAGGGACTCCGGCAGATCAGCAGCAGCTGCAGCGGCAGCAGCGGCGGCAGCGACAGCTGCGGATGGAGGAGGAGTGGGAGGGAGATGGGCAGGGAGGGAGGCGGGAGGGGAGGCAGGGAGGGGGCCGGGAGGGGAGGTAGAACGGCAGGCAGTACCAGTGCTTGTGACAGTGCGATGGGATTTCGATGAAGGTCCCCAATACAAACAGGCATGCAGGTTCGTCCGTATGTTCCCGTGCATGTGTGTGTGCTGGAGAAGGGGGGGGGGGGGGCGGGGGGGGGGGAGGAGGGGAGGGGGAGAGGGGGTATTGCATGCGCGCACGCCCGGGCGTACATGCGTGCGTGTGTATGTCCGTGTGTCTGTGCATGCGTGTTTTGAGACGTCTCAAAACGTGCGTGTGTGTGTCCATGTGTCTGTGCATGTATGTGCGTGCATGTGTTTGCATGTTTGTGTGCATATGAGCGCACGTCATAACACCCTGTGTCAGTGTGACGTGCTCCCTAACAGGGCTATGGTGAAAGAGGGCGAGTGGATGAGGCTGCAAGGGCACTTCACCGCTCCCCACCGCATTCCACACAAAGTGGGTGGGTGAAAGGCAGGTAGGCTAGTCCAAGTGAAGGGCTATGAGAGGGAGCGAACTTGGTCAGAGCAGCTATTTTGGAGTCTGTTTTCAGAATTCTCAAACGAGGTTCCAAGCGAAGGGCTATGGGGGCGGAGCAAACTTTGTCAGAGCAGCACCGCACACGCCGTGTGTTTCAAGAAGTCAAGGTGAAGAGCGTTAAAAACAGTCATAAAAAAAATGCACAGGTGAGGGACCATGACTCAAAAACAGACTCAATACAGATGGCTTAGGTGACGTGATGGACCATGATACGTTTGAGACGTCTGAGGAGTCCACTCGAAGGGGCATGAGAAGGAGCAAACGGGGTGAGAGTGGCTCAACACGCAACACACAAATGCAGCACGCTATCATGCACCCCCTTTTGCCCATTCGCTGTTCCTACGGATCAGTCGCCTCCTCCCATCCGCACCCCCATTGCACCTCATTGCATGCCATCCACATCGTTTTCCCCATTCATACCCTCATCTCCCCCGTCAGGTAACAGCCTACATCGAGGGTCCTCCTCCCATCCCCTTCCCCCATCCCTTCCCCCCATCCTCCTCCGATCGTATTCGCGCCCCTCTCTCCCCCCTCTTCCCATCATCGTCCCCACCAGGTAACAGCCTACATCGAGGGCCCTCCACCCGCATTCGACCTCCTCATCAGCCTCTTCGCTTTAGTCCCAGCCTCCCACCCACACCCCACTTTCCCCCTTCTTCCACCCACTACTGCTGCTGCTATGAACATTCCCCTTCCTCTGACTCATACTAATTTTCCTCCTCCTCTCACTCCTCTCGCTCCACTTGGTGATCAGAACGCATCAGCAGCAGCAACAGTCCCGCCTTGCCCCATGTCCCCTCCTCTTCCTCCTCCCCACTCTCCCCACTGTCCCCCCCGCCCCAACCTTCTTCTCAACGGTGATTTTTCCAACCGCACTGCCAGCTGGCAGCCCATGGGAGGCTGCGAGGTGCTGACGTGGCACGCGCCGTGCCGGTGGGGCTCCGTGATTGGTCCTCCGGTGGAGCCCTCCTGCCTGCCCGCTGCTCATCCCTGCACCGTGTTTGAACGGCGACAGATGCAGCTTCACGCACAGTGGCAGCAGCAGCAGCAGCAGCAGCAGCAGCAGCAGCAGCAGCAGCAGCAGCAGCAGAAACAGCTGAAAAGTTACTCGCACAATCACAAACCATCAAGCCATCTGCTTCTGCCTCTGCTTCAGCCTGCCTCCTCGGTCCCTCTAGCCGGGGGACCCACAGGTGCCTACCTGGAAGTGACAGGTAGGACTGCCACGTGGCATGGGCAAGCTCAGGACATAGCAGCAGCCAATCACGGCCCTGAAAGCAGCCCTGCTGCTGCTGCTGCCTCGCAGACTGATGGCGGCGCTGACGGTGGGCCGATTCGTCTGTTTGTGACGTATGCTGTGAGCGCGTGGGTGCGTGTGGGAAGGGATAGACGGCACAAGGATCCAGCAAAAAGTCTCTCCCTCTTTGCAAGAAAAGGAAAAAAAGGGGAGGAAGGAGGGGCAGTAGGAACGGAGGAAAAAGAGGCAGAAGGACCGGAGGGAAGGGTGGGATCACACGCAGTGAACATTGCTTTAGGCGTGGATGGGGGGTGGGTAAATGCCGGGTCGGTGGAAGCTTCTGGGAAGGAGTGGGTGCAGTGCTGGGGGTCGTTTCGCCTGGAGAAGCCGTACAGGCGAGCAGTGCTGTACGTGCAGTGCCCGCCGCCAGGTGTCAGCATCCTATTGGCCGACGTGCGCGTGGTGGCTGTGGAGTGGCGGGAGAGGGTGCCGTGGCTGCGAGAGCAAGCAGACAGGGTGAGATGTGGAGAGCGGTGGAGAGTGGTAGAGAGGGGTGGAGAGGGATGGAGAGAGGTAGAGCAGGGTGGGGAGGGGTGGAGAAGGGTGGAGAGGGGTTGTTCAATGTAGGGTGTGATTTGTGCTCCCAAGCTCCTACCCCTCCCACCGCCCCTCCCCCACCCACGCCCCTTCTCCCCGTCCCACACTCCCTCTCTTTTTCTACCTCTCTCTCTGACATGCCCACATGCCCTCTCCTCCCCCCACCACAAACCTTTGCCCCTCCCCACACACACCCCCCTTTCCCCCATCAGCTCCGCAAGGGATCACTGCGTCTCCGCCTCCTCTCCGCTGCCGGCCAGCCAATCCCGTGCGCCCACGTGTCAGCCAATCAGACGTGCCGCTCCTTCCCCCTGGGCACCTGCGTTAACGCCAGGGACCTGCTGGGGAACCCACGCTACCAGTCCTTCTTCCTTCCGCGATCACAGAGAGGGGGAGTGGGGAACGAGAAGGACGTACAGATTTTTCGAGAGGGAAAGGGAAGCGGGTTGAGTGGGAGTGGGAGTGGGAGCGCAAGTGGGGCATGGTTCAACTGGGCCGTGTGTGAGAACGAGCTCAAGTGGACGAGTGTGGAGGCAAGGCGAGGAGAGGAGGACTGGAGGGACGCTGACACCATGGTGACGTGGATGCAGGTGTGTGTGGTGATAGATGGGGGTGAGAGTGGTGATGGGGATGGGGATGGGGATGGGGATGGGGATGGGGATGGGGATGGGGATGGGGATGGGGATGGGGATGGGGATGGGGATGGGGATGGGGATGGGGATGGGGATGGGGATGGGGATGGGGATGGGGATGGGGATGGGGATGGGGATGGGGATGGGGATGGGGATGGGAATGCAAGGACGAGGAGAGTACATTGTGGGGAGGTGCAGTGTGTGTTTTGTTGCGCACATGCAGCTCAATGTGCTCATGATCATCGTTTCAGTTTATCTTCACAGTCGTATGCCTGTGAACGTGCATTTGTTTTGTATGCATGCAGGAGCATGGAGTGGCAATGAGAGCGCACTGTCTCTTCTGGGACAACATGCGCCCACCTTGGGTCGATGGACTCTCACTCAAGGAAATGAAAGGTGCGACTCTTGAAATTTTCATGCCAATCACCCATCCCCTGCCTTTCATTTCAAAGACACAATCTCCCTGTCATATCGAAATGAAAGATGCCTCAAAGGTGCGCTGTGGCTGAGAGTGGAAGCAGTTGCACAGGGGCAAGGCAATGCCTGCGCACTGCCTCTTTTGAAACAGCATGCAGCCAGATAGGGAGCTTCTACCCACTCTCCCATACTCCGTTTTCGATCGAGTTTTAAGTCGGGTCGAGTCCGCTTTCGGCCAGATGGAGGCTTCTACCCACTCTTTCGTTTTCCCTTTGCTTAATTTCTCCTTCCCTATCGTCCCCCTACCCCCCCCGCACTCTCTTCCCACCGTAAAGATGCTACTGATAGAATAATCACATCCCCCCTGTCTCCTGCTTCGCTCACATGGACGTAAAAATCGAGATGCTTTCCTCCCTTCCAGAATTCACCCCCCACCCCACCCTCTCGCCCCCCAATTCCTCGCCAAGACAGATGCCATTGACAGCAGAATCAAGTCTCTCCTCCCTCACTAGCCCTCCTGTTTCGCTCACGTGGATGTCAGCAACGACATGCTGCATGGATGTCAGCAACGAGATGCTCCATGGGGGATTCTTCTCCTCCCGCTGCGGCCCATCCATCGTCCCTTTCCCCGCTTTCCCCACTCACCCCCATGCAGATGCAATCGACAGCAGAATCACAGCCCTCCTCTCCCGATATCCCTCCTGCTTCGCTCATGTGGATGTTAACAGCGAAATGCTCCACGGAGAATTCTTCTCCTCTCGCTGTGGCCCATCCATCGTCCCCCGCATGTTCCAGTTCGCCGCCCAGATCGCACCCTCCCTCGTCCTTTTCCTCAACGAGTATCACATAGAGGACGGCGAAGACGAAAAGAGCCGCCCGGAGAAGTACGCACAGTTCGCCCGCCAGCTCATCTCCAGCGGGGCGCTAGTTGGCAGGCTCGGCACGCAGTGCCACATCAGTGCGCCAGTTGGCGCCCACATGAGGCATGCTTGGAGTATCCTAGCAGACGTAGGGTTACCAGTTTGGGTTACAGAGCTCGATGTGAGCTCCATACGCGAAAAAGTGAGAGCGGATGATTTGGAGATTTGCCTAAGGGAGGCGTTTGGCCATGGGGGAGTGGAAGGGGTGGTACTATGGGGTTTCTGGGAAGGTTCCGGGCCGGATCGACCGTCCATGTCGAGAAAAATGCACACTTGGTGCGTTCTGATTGGTCGTTGACGGAGGCGGGGGAGAGGCTCGAGATGTTACTCAAGGAATGGACGACGAAGGATGTAGTAGGGAGGACAGATGAGGAAGGGTGGTTTGTGGTGGAGGGGTTTGGAGGGGATTATGAAGTGGTGGTGAGGGATGGAGGGCAGGAATGGAGGAAGATTGTAGAGGTGATTCCACAGAAAGAGAAAGTCTTTGAATGGAGGCTTGAGAGCGGAAAATATGTGACTGGTGCTGTTTCATCCTGATTATGCTGCAAAGTAGTGCAGATGTGATCTGCTACATACATGTGCATTTTGTATATAGTGTGCATATGGTTCACGATTTGTTAATTCGTTGTGATTGAATTGCGTCAGCCTGTAACGAGGATAGTAAGTGAATGCCAAAGCAGATGCTCACCATGTCAGCACCTTCGCCTTTTCCATTTTTCTTCGATTTACAGTATGAGGTATACACCAATATTATATGGTCATCGTTCTTTTGTATACACCAATGCTTCTCGCCAAAGTAGATTCCGCGCAGTTTTTCCGCCTTCATCCCGCGGTTCTCTCCGCCACTTGGGGCGCCGTCTCCTGCCGCGCCACCTCGTCGCCGGCCGCCCCGCCCGCGCCACCCGCGCCACCCGCGTCGCCCCGGTCTGACCGCGCGGCTGCGCGCCCAGTGCCGCACATAGCTGCATGCGCGCGTAGCTGTAATCGTGCCGCTCAGCGCCGTCGGGCTGAAGCACCTCTCGCCGCCCAACGCTGCAGGCCATGAATTAGCGCGCGCGGGGCGCTGCCGCTGCGGCATTTCCGCTCGAATTTCCACTCCGCGTTTGTGGGGGCGCGCCAGAGCGCACTAAAGCGCGCTAAAGCGCGCCAGAGCGCATCAGCGCACGCCCGTTACAAGTGAGTCGCCACGCCTGCCGTCCACACAGCCCGCAGAGTGCCCCACCCCCCTTTCCTCCGTGCACTCCCCGCTTCTTCTGTAACGCGCAACCTAGCTAACCACCTAACTAACATCCCTAGTCAATGTCGAAATCTTTCTCGACAATGAGTTGAGGCTACGGGAATTGTGTTGGGTGGGAATGGGAAGGTTGGGTTGGAGGGGAAGCTTGGCTTGACAATTCCAAACCTCAAATTTGAGGCTTGGAACTTCCCAACCCAACAAATGTGAAGATTGAAAGGTTGGATTTCCAACCAATCAGAACATGCCAGTTGTTGTTACAATCCACACAAATTTTAAATCAACCATACAATTGTGCTAAGTTGGGTTTTTCCCAACCAAACTAAAATGCCACCTAGGCTCCAAGCCTAATTGCTCCCCAACCATGGAAGCCATGGTTGGGAAGAGCCCCAAGGGGTATTGTGGAAGGGGTTGGAGCTCTGAAGCTCATTCCCACTTCCCAACTCCAACTTACCAACTTGGAAATGGGATTTCTCTAAGTCATTATTGGCTCTCCTAACAAGCTCTCCTACACAACTGGACTTGTGATTTTTCAAGGATAAGCTCTACAAGAAGCTACTACCTACTTGCTCAAGCTTCATCAACCTTCTTCAAGCTCTCTTCCTTCTCTCAAGCTTCAAGAGTATTATCAAGGCTAGTTTATCCCTTGGTGGGATTAGTTTAATCTTGGAAGTATTGTATCTTGATTTTATATAAATTGTCAAGGAGGATTTATATTAAACACACGGTTGCCCGTTGTTATAAGGGCCGTGGTTGTTACATTGGTATCAGAGCCTGGGGTTCGATTCCCGGCTGGGTCACATATGAATGTGCCAGTCGCGAACCCAGTGAACGATCCGCCGCTGGCCTGGCCCACCAGCGAAGTCGCTGTAGAGCGAGATTCAGGTCCTTGCGAGGGCCGACTCCCTGCCCAACGAGGACGTTGGCTCCAGGGGGGGACGAGTGTAACGCCTGTGGGCTTACACGTAAGGGTATGAGTGCATCCGCTGCGCCTCAAATATAACCCTCGTTTTGACCCAGTGGGTAGCGAGGTGTTACATTGGTATCAGAGCTAGGGTTATCCTAAGCCTAGTGGGGATTTTGCCCCTAGAGATTTTTTTTTTTCTTATCGATCTTAGAGTTGTGGTTTCTCTTTAAGAGAACACTCAAGATCTGGAAGCTTGAAGAGTTCAAGATCTACAAGATCTACAACTGCAACTTCAAGCTTAGAAGAGAGATTTATCTCTCTTGCCCACCTTTTGGTGGAAGACTCTCTACTTTTGAGTAGTGGAGTATAAACTTGGATCTGGTGGATTTGTTGAGGGTTATACAAGTTCTCTTTATCGAGATTTGGATAGACCCTGCCCTTTCACTTAGGTGATTGGGAGTGTTGGCAACAAATCTGTTACCTCTGGTAACGTTAGATTATTCTGTAGAAGAAATTTCTTTTATAAGAATTTCTTGCTTTACCATTGAAGTGGTAAAAGGTCTTTAACAGAATCAACCCAGATCTTACATACTCCCTTAATCCTTATGGCATCTGGCCAAGAGAAGGATATGGCAAGGGAGGAAGGGCCCACTGCACCTAATGAGGTGGTGAACAATGCTGCTGAGATTGACCTCAATCAAGATGAGGCAATGGCTGACATTGAGCTGGATGACATTGAAAACCTGGATCTGGAGGACGAGGATAACTATGTTGAGGCTGATACCCATGTTGAAGCTAATAACCATGGTGAAGCTGATAACCATGGTGAAGCTGATAACAATGGGGAGGAGCAAAACACCGGTGGAAAGGAGAACACTGGTGATGACAATGACTTCACTGAGGGTGAAGGCATGAGTTATCCTATCTCCGAGGAGATTGTCCAGCTCCAGGCCCAAGTGGCAACTCAGAATATCACCATCCTGCAGCAGCAGACGTCCATTGATGGACTCAAAAAGCACACTCAGGACCTCGAGGCTAGGCTGAGCATTACCATGAAGGAGGTTACTGACTTCCGTCGCAGCCTGGGCACTAAAAACCGCCAAATTGAGTGGCTTCAGAATACTTGCACTAATCTGCAAGCATCATTCAACAGGCTCAATGCAAGTTCACAGAGCTTAGGAGGGAGGGCATTTACCAGCCTCCTCCTGGGCGTAGGCCCGCTCCTGCTGCTCAGCCGGCTCCTGCTTCGCCCGCACCTACGCAGGTAGGCACTGCGATGCACCAGCCACCTCCAACCGAGACCTCGCCCTTTGGGTCTCTCTCGGCGCCTCTGCCTGAGTTTAACCATAGCAAGACGGAGGTGCAGCCTTGGCTTGACCTGGTGAATGACACCATGACCCTTGCGAATGTGCGTCCTGAGGCTCGCGTTACTGCAGCTACTCGTGCATTGGACGAGGTGGACCGCAGGGCAGTGTATGGCGCTAAGAAGCAGGCGCAGGGACCGTTTGAATGGCCGGAGTTCTGCACCGCGCTGACAGAGGCATTCATGGTCAAGAAGTCCGACCTGGAACTGCGCGGACGCCTTGAGAGGATCAAGTGTCGTGACCGTTCGGTGCAGGAATATGCGGTCGAGTTTGAGGCCGCAGCACGCTTGCTCCAGAAGCCCTTGTCTGAGGAGGAGATGATGCACGTCTTCATGAAAGGCCTCCCAGTCAAGCTGCAGGAGGCACACATGACCGGTGGCATGACCAATTGGACAACTTAC